AGACAAACAGAGACGTTTCTACGCTTGCAGTGTGTATACGGTGTGATAAATGACGAATGAATGAACAAATAACGCTAAAGACATGAAAAGATTTTTACTGTCTTCAAACGAATTTATATCATTCATTCCTCAGGTATTTCATGGAAATAAAGACAGGAATTCAGTGATATCTCACACTCTATGGAACACCATTAAGTCAAGCACGCTCCGATTTTGGCCAATGGTTAAACGTAACTTTGTTTCTATGCGAACAGAATTGTACGGGTGTATGACAGGTCAGTATTTCTAGTCTAAAACGTCGAACATCAGTTCTTTTTAAGCCTCTTGTTTTGGATCGTGTCTTCTCGATAATAAGTCTATAAGAATCTGTCATTTTTTTTAGTATTTTTAGCACTATACGTTTTGCTGTGAGATTTGTTTTTCTGTGGTTATTAATCTTGTATCTCACTTGATTGCTAATCATACACTATACAGACCAATCGCGATCCGCAACCGAGTGCTCAACAGTTGGCCATCGTATGAGTGGTGAATCAAATCCGCCCAGCAGAAAAGATTGCCAGTGGCATGTCACTTCTTCAAAGGCGGAGAGCACAGTAACGCTGAAGTTTATAACCTTTGATTTCTTAAAAAGCGATCCTTCATGTATGAAAGACTACGTTGAAATCAGAAACGGCCTTACTAAACACGCTCCTCTGATAGGAAGGTATTGCGGAGACAAGATACCTGCTCCCGTGCAATCCTCGGGAAACGGTCTCTGGGTGCGTTATGTGGTGTCAGGTGATATAAAAACCAAAGTTGGCATGACTTATCACGACGGTCCCTCCAAGTCTTCTCAGGGTGATGAAGGGAAGAAAGGTATACTTACAATGGCGGGTTCTTTTGTTTGCCTGTTACTTAAATGAACTAGGGGTACAAAAGCCTGAAACGTTTATTGTTCCTGTGTAACCAAATTGATATTAAATGCAGCTTTCGTTTAGGGAGAATGGTTGGTCACCATGAAATAACAATAAAGCACGTTTTATCATTGACAGGTAAAAGCGCAGGAAGAATTTCATAAGTCTGTTCACCCGGAAAATGACTGTTGGTGATAAGTTTATCAATGGTCATATTTTGTCTTAAATGTTCGAGAACGATAAAGATGAGATTTAATGATTTTTACCTGGGTGGTAAAAAAATGGTTAAATTTAAGATTTGTGATGATTCATAATTTTAAAGAGCTACCTGTAAATAACAAATTTTCAAAGTGTGTTATGACTTGACAACGATTTTGAATGTCCACTTTTTTCTTATTTATTTTCACATCAAAAGCCCATATTACTCCCTATACTAATATCGGATCGTTTTGCAATTCTCTGATTCCTTATCTCTCCAGGATGCGGTAATCTAAAATATTCTGTCTCTCCGTGGGAGTCCGATGGAGATTTACCAAAGCAGTGGCCTGGCCGATGGCCCTGGCAGGTAGCTCTTCTGCTTATGGGACAATCTGTTCAGCAGTGTGGCGGCGCTCTCCTTGCTCCTCGATGGGTACTCACCGCAGCCCATTGCTTCAAGAGGTATTAAAAATTTATTCAAAGGTGCTCGTTTTTTCAGCTACAGGTGAAAAGGGTGCCTCCTTAAAAATAGAAAATATTTAATATGAAGATTTATCATATAAACTATGGTGTTATACAAGGATTTCCAGCCATGAGAAAAGCCGTAATAAGACATGTGGAAAAATACGATATTTTTTCACGTGTGTTTTATATCGCCAATCAGCTGCTGATACGTCACTCGCTTTTCGCGCCACTCGATCAGGTTGTTGAATGAATGGAAAAGCCTTCACGATTCTCAATACAAAGTAGTTTGTCGGAACGTTCTTGAATTATGGCGGCTAAAACATTTAAAAATCCGTATCGCTCACAGACGGTGACTTTCAAACTTTCCTAGAAGGGAAGATGAAACCAATGTACGAAAATAAAAACCGAAAGTTACGTGTTCGGTGGCTTTGGATATGGCGTTTCTCGCGGCTGAAAACGAAAATCGACAACTGGAAGATTTGCCATAGGCCGATTTTGGCCGTTTACCTGAAAGACTTTTACTGTCGGTAAAGAAAAAGTCAATAAACCACAGACTTTCGTTTGCAGGTTTAAACAACCTCTTCAGTGGGTCATACGGGCTGGAGAGTTTGATCTCGCGAAAAAGGAAAATTCTGAGCAAAATATACGAGCAGAAAAAATATATGTTCATTCATCATATATCCCGTCAACAAACGAGAATGATATCGCTCTGGTATACCTTGAGCGAGCAGCACAATTGAACGATTTGGTGGAAACGATATGTCTACCGGATGAAGGAGAGCTACAGCTCGAGAGCAAGTGCGCTGTAGCAGGTTGGGGTTTTAGGCCGGCCAACGTCCATCATACATCTACCCCGCTCAGGTCCCAAAGAGTGCCCGTTGTTTCCCGCCAGGTCTGTAACGGAGCCAATGCATACGGTGGTCTTGTGAAAGATAATATGATTTGTGCAGGGTATGAGAAGGGTGGCGAAGACAACTGTTACGGAGATGGCGGAGGCCCTCTCATGTGCCAGAATTCGGTAGGAAAGTGGTTTGTTGGTGGAATTAATAGCTGGGGACAAGGCTGCGGACTGCCTGGCAAATATAGTGTGTACACCTATACGGAGAGGTATCGTGACTGGATAAACCGTCATATGCAAGCAGACTAACTGTTCTCACTTGCGTCAGATAAAGGAATGGTGAATCAACTTTTGAGTCCACACTGCAAAATACCAAATTATAAGGGCCTGCGATTGGCGCTTGTCAAGGCCGGCGCATCCCGTTCGATTTCGGGAGGGATTACATCCAAGTAAAACATAGTAGTAGCTATGAAAAGGAACGTGTAAGTCGCTTTCAACGTGTTGCAACTGACTAAAACATACGTTTTGTTGTTCAGATAGGTAATAGGCTGTAGCCAGTTAAATACATATTTTTGACGTAATCACAATTCAATTTCGAAAATGTGAAACTAATTTTTAAGGGCTCATCGTTTCGGTATTAGTAATGGAAGAATAATGGGACGCTGTGAAGTTTAGCGAGGTCTTAATTGAACGAGCCGTTTCGAACGGAGCTTGATAATACAATTAAACCAATCGAATTCTCCTTGAGAGGATTCAAACGTAATGCAATCTTTGTGACCTTGTGGATATGAATGGTTAGTCAACGTCTACAGCTGTAAAATTCTATATTTACCTAATTGTACTTAGCTAAAATGTAGTTTCACTGTGATATAATTACTGAAGTGTTTCCGGTCTTTTTCTTTTTTTTTTTTTTTTGAATAAGGCGCCCTTCAGCCCTTTGGTCTCCTACGTAATATGGCAGTTAGCTTGTATCCTTTTTTCTTTGTGTGAAAATCTATGGTTTCCTGAATGTCGAGTTATTTTTTCCGATGTACGTAATCTTTTTTTAATCTCGTTTACAAGGGCTCTCAACCAAGTTACGCCGTGGCGTGGAAGCCATGAGCGATAGTTATCGGTGTTCTATTTACGATACTGCTGGATTTATGAGTTTCATATCAGGACGTGATTAACACGTCGTCTTAGAGATTTCTTAAACCTAAGGAACCCCAATTATCATTGGAATCTAAATGATTTCTCAATTCGTTTAAAAGGTTACTTAAAATGCTTTATTTTTTTTGCGACTTCTTTTTTTCTCTTGGAAGGATTTTTGTGATGGTTAGAAGTTCGATTCAGCAGCCTTTCAAATGTCACTAAACGACATCAACATGGAGACGGCTTAAATGAGAGATGATATTGGGAACGTTAGCTTAGTTTTATGGTACCATGAATGATGTTACTTGTTCAAAACGTCTATCAGATTGGTATGCTAGCGGACTAAATTAAATATGAAAAGTTGCGAAAGGACTTATCTACCACATGTAATGGTAAAAGTAATGCCAGCTGAAGTAAACTGTCAGGAATGTGCAGCTGATTGTACATGCAACATCATCAAAAAGTCAATAATTTATATTGATCGTTTGTCTCGCAATATTAAACCTTGGGACGGTTCCCACGGTCACGAGAAAAGCAAAGAAAACGATCTTCTAAAGAAAAATCTAACTAACCGCTTTGCTGAAGGTCCCTTGTTATAAAAGGGAGACCTTTGATTTCTATGTCATCCGCTGACAGAAAGCGGATCTGTCTAAATCACCGGAAAGCCGGCAAAGACATACTGAACAAGAATTTATTAAATATATACATGTAATACTCGATCCCAGACGAAATTTTCGAGTTTGTCATCTTTTTTTTGTTAAGTAATAATAGAATCCTAGATAAGAATCGCGTCGTTTGGACCGTCTACGTTTGGTATTCGCTTTTGCTGGACTACGATTGGCTGATCTGTCTTTCATTATAATGAGTAGTCGCTTGAAGAATTTTTTCTGTTATGATATCGTCATACATGTTGAGCTCGTGCGTTGACGAGTTGTTCTTGCCTCAGTAACGTGGCTCTAATCGCTTTTTCACTTGCCGCACGTAGACTTCTGAACTTCATATGTTTGGATCGTTTACCATCTACTTTTGTCGCTGTTCCGTTTCCACCAACATTAGACAAAGTCCATGTTTTTCCGGATATTCGACATGGCTCATAAAAGAGAAGTACTTGTCATCAAAAATTTGATCTGTGTCCAAGGAAAGTCTTTTTAAGATTAACAATCAATACAAGTTTATAGCAACGACAACACTAGCCGTCGGATTCATCTCAGCTTATAAGGAGTAAGTAGAGGATGTAACCGTTTGCTATAAAACATTAATTTTTTTGAATTGCTAGCTTTTAATCACACTGCAAACGAAAATACTTGCCATTGATTAGGTAGATAAAATCAAAGTCAATCAATAATGCTATGGCAATTGTTCAACAATTATATTGTGCTTTACGCAATTTAACCTTTGTGTTAAGTTTCTTTTTTTTTTTTCTTTTTTTTTTTTTCAATTTGTTTTAAAGAATAGCAGATTTATGTCATGTGATTGTGTTGCCCTCTCGTGTTATCCCATAACATTCAAGCCAACAAATGCGTCAGGTTTTCAGATAATTAAGAAGTGTGCTCTAACAAGCAAAAACAGCTCAAGCTGCACTAATGCCATCGACAATCCTTTCTGTCGAATACTAACAGAACTCTCGCATTAAGCTCTGGTCATCGAAGTTCTCTAAAAGACAACAAATGAATACAATTATTACCTCTTGCCTGATTTCTTGATTCCTCTCAGACGATGAGCGATATTTAACAGCCCAGCTTGATATTTGAAGTATGCCTTGTTCTAAAAATAACGTACAGCTTTTAACCATTTTAACCCTATTTCGTTTCAAAGACTATTTCTTGTTACTCATGTCATTAAAGAGACAGTTTTGTCTCCTTAGCAGTGTGCGAGCCAAGGGAGAGCCTTAGATCCACTGTCGCCATGTATTTTATCCCATTTCGGTACTCGGAATGGTTGAAAAAGAAAACTCGAAACTATTGTATTTGAAAAGCACTCTAATGAGATTTAAATTCTAGTACCCTTTGAACAAAACTTAACGTGAACACAGTTCGAATATCGAGTTCGTCCTTTACATAATTCTTTGCCGTCGGACGTGCAGGCTCTTTATGGGTGTAGCGTCAGGAAGAACTAATGAGTAGTAAATTACCGATCTGTAATTGCATTTAGCTCCGATTACTTAGTAGTTGTACTAATTACTTAGTGGTTATGCTTTTAGGCGGTAAAGCCGCCAAAAGTCCTCAAAATCTCTCACGTACCTCGATCGGATTACGAAAGCAGTCCTTTACCGCTTGGGAAACTTCTGATATTGTACAGTAATAAACTACTTAGCTAACAGTTATGTTTAGCTAATAGAAAGATGCGTCAGAAAATTTCAGAAAGGGGCAAGATTTACCCCCTTGTTTCTTTTACAAAATGTAATTCCAAGCCTTTGACGTACAAACTATTTATATCGCCTATACAAATATTCTAGTTGAGTACTTCTCAATCGCAAACAGACCGACCAATCCAGGGAGGACCTCAAAGGTATGAGCTTAAAAATCGATTGTTTATTATCGGCCGAATGTAGTGCATTTCTAGAACTCTGTAGTTGGTATCGAAAATATTTAACTGAGGGGAGAGTTTTCCTCGAAATTCTGTTTGTCTTTAACTAGCTCCCTGTTTTAAATTATCTCCTGCTTTTCTGTCTCCGCTTGCAAGCAAAATTCTTACCTTTGATTGCGTGGTTCCTAGACGAAACTAGTTGAGGGGCACGTGATTGGATTTACGCTGGGCGTGAAATGAAAGTGGATTGTTGGGTTTATATTTCGAGATATCATATATGATAAAGATGAGGTTTATTTTTTCAACAAACCGATGTAAAAAATTCCTTTTGTAATGTACGCACTATTTGTGGGGTTAACGTGTATCCAAAATGTTTCAAAGGGTAATTTTAGTACAGTGCGTGTTCATTCTATTTCCTCTTCGGTGTTTTTGTTCGAAGCATTTTTTCCAAAGTCCCATTCTGTTGTAAGGAAAGTGTCTGTGTCTTTACTTGAAAATGGTCCAAAAAATCGTCGGCCGTTTAATTCTGATGATGATCTCTCAAACCAGTGGAGAGGATACTACTGTGTAACCATAGTACCTCTCATGAATAAAGGGGGGTAAATTTAAAGAAGCTGTGGTATTGCGTCGGTAGGGGGTATCATAAGATAGCTTGGTTTTATCAAGTGAGATGATAATGCAGTTCTAAAGAGTTTCTACTAAAGCTGGGTGACGTCTCAAGCGTTAGTCTTAAGAGTTAATGTTACCTCTCAGTTGAGCGAAGTATAACAGAGTATAGTTTTTCTGTCGAAACGTATTTCTGATGTTGAGTTAAGTATATTATTTTAAGTATTGACGATTACACGCAAATTTTTACGGTCCCTGGGAGACATTCTTCTCGATCCTATAAATCCTATGAAGGAAAAAGGAACTGTGGAGGGCAAAATATCGTACTGACGTATACCTCAGCTTTATGCGTATTCTGTCGCGGTAGTTCACGAGTCAAGAGAGCGATATTTTTTTATTTGATGAACGATTTTTAAAAGGTTATCCGGTGTTTAACTTTAATCCCTCCAGGACATATATATTTTTAGTTGGATGTTAAATGGTTTTCACTGCTTTTCTCATGCTCAAAGCAAGTCGGTCTTTAAAGCATTAATTTAGACCTCAAGCGCACAAGGTCGAAAATAGTTTTAGCTTTGTATAGGCGCCCTTTCGAAAGTTAAGCGGAGCAAGTCTCACGTGGGCTACAAAGCTGGGTAGGTACTTTCACATTGTCGTACATTTCTTTGTGAGATTGATCTCCTGGAGAAAGGAATCGTGCTGACAGTATTGTAACAATCTTACGAAGAGCGTGGCCGGGTCCAAAGTTTCTTTGGCACGTGAAAGAAGCGAGTTCAGTAAATTGTGCATTTGTAAAAGACAGCAGGGTATTCCCTTTTTTGAAAACAGCATAGACATAAAACATGATGACATAGCATGTTGCTTGATATTTCAGTGATATCTTATTGCCCTCAAGGTTTCTTTTGCCATCCCGATTGAAGCGCACTTTGCGCTTGACTGATCTGCTTGTAAGTTATCATCAAAGCGTATAGTTAGCCAGTCTTACACTTTTAGAAGAACTAACTTTTTATCGTCATGATTCCTTTCAGATTCATTGTTACAAAAAAGGGAACATAAACAAGTCCACCTGCTCCGCTAACAACGTACCCTTAGGTGAGTTCTATATTTGGTAATTTTCATTTCTATTCTTTGTGGTAAATAGGTCAGATATATTTAAGCAAATTTACTAGTCTTTGTCGATATTTGGAGTTACGAATGAGGTCTCCCACGTGCCCTGTCGATTGCTTTCCATATACCTTTCCGCCAACAGAAAAGCATGTTGAGGGTGGATTTTTGTCAAAGCGACCATGTCTTAAATTCTTTCCTCATGAGATGGAGCCTCAAACGGGAGGCCTTTTTGGGTAAACGTTGGCGAATGAACCTTGTTTGGTTACTGGAATTTAAAACATGATTGTCATATCCAAGACATTGTGCGAAAAGATTACAGCTAATTATGAATCGTTTTGTTATGATAATTTGTCAAAACTCAAAAATTTTTAACTTTGTCGTCCTTTTATTTAAGACAGTGGGTCGGTGCGTGAGTGAAATGTCAGGCTCTAAGTTGTTTTTAAGCAGATGGCACAGTGAAATACCAAAGTTCGTGTCATTTGAAATCATTTGGCATTGAAATCCGTACGAGAAACATTGAATTAGGTGAACGCATGCACTTCACGATTGAAATAGTTTGTCTTAAGGTGTTTGTGTTAAGTGGACCAGTCTACTGTAAATATGGCTGTTATTTTTAGGCCATGTGTAGTTTTATTTATCTTTATATATTTTTTTTTCAAACTTTGTGTGCAAAAATATTAACTCAGTTATAACGATGTGCCTTTCGTCATGCATTTTTTGGCAGGGCAGATTATTAGCCAGGAGGATAAAGATCAATGGATCTGTTCCTGACTTTCCTGCTTTTTGCAGTACTAGGGACAACGTATGTGTGCAGTATATACGCTGAACTGATCAAAGAAGAAAACGGAAAACCCGCCAAGTGGTCCGACCTGACCATTACAGAAACCCAAGTGGAAAATGATGTAGGGACTCTATTTCTTAACATAGAAGAAGAAAGCAATTCGTTAGAAGAATTTGCTGAAAAAGTCCTTTCGGCCTTCACACCAACCAGAAAGACTTCCGGGCATGGCCTCTCCATAAAACAAGTGCATTCCAGCCAAGGTAGACGGAGAAGACAAATCTTTGGAGAGGACAACCGAGTTAATATGCGAACTTCTCTCGAAGCTCAGATGTATCCGTTCTCCACTGCAGTGATGCTTTCTTCCGGTTGCACTGGCACGCTCATCGGGCCTGAGCACGTGCTGACAGCCGCTCACTGTGTACACGACGGCAAAAGACACTTAAAAATTGCCAAACGATTAAAAGTTGGTGAGTGATTAGACTTATTCCTTCCTTAAGAATTGTGCAACATCTCTGGTACGAAATTTATTTGATCTTTATTTACAAGGTCTCATGTCACAGCCGGGCTCACTATGCAGTATAATTCACTGATGTTAAAAAATCAATTTAGGTTACACCGGGTCGACTTTGCTAGAATATTCAAAATTATAAAATCCATGTTATCAATTTGACATGGTTGAGATTTTGTTAGCGTATTGTCAATCTACGGTCTCTGTCTATTTTAACGTGTCTTGTATTCCTCCCACTTCTTTACCAATTTTTGCTCTGTTATATTAATTTGTGAGGTTGTCACATGACTTCAGGAGGGCTATTAACTTCTCAAGGACAAAACTGAAATCTTGAATTAAAGCGATACGACAAAATTGAAAAGCATCCTTCTTAATGGTTTGTCAGACGAGTATGGCTCCAGCAAACAAAGACCCCACTTGACGACGTTTGTTTTGATTCGTCGTGAATAACGCCGGACAGTAACACCAAAATTAATATGAGATTATTGAAATTAGTACCCTGTTATATTGGCAAGTGAGGCGTGCTGTGGGGGCGTGGAGCTTGACTAAGACCATTGCGGAAAGTGGAATGAACGTCATCTACTTAGAATCTTTTTCATAAGCATTATTCAAACTAAATGTCGGGGAGAATTATATACAGTTATGTTCTTGATTAGCTTGTTTGTTTTGTTCCTTTGATGCGTTTGCTCGTTATTAAGTGTCTCTACGGTAATCGATGAAAACCTCAAAGTTTTGAAGCATTCCAACAATGTAGTATTTTCGTGACATTCAATAGTGCGTGAAATAAAGCTACCCTCAGGTGCAGATGTACCATACCTTAAACGAAGCTCTGTAACAAGATGCTAAAGACAATTAAGATTCACCTTCGATCAACAAAAGGCCTGTTTAGAAATTATCAACTCAGAAGACAATAGATATCGTTTTAGGACAACTTTATTGGATAAACGGAACTTTTTAATGATCCTGATAGTGATGAGTGCAAGTGACTTTTTTCCTTGATGCTATGTATGTCTGAGAATGTTAACAAACAGACCGACTCCATTCGCGCGAAACTATTTGTTTGAATACCTACGTGTTATTCTCATTTATGTCATTTTCTTCACACTTACATTTCTGTACCTATCTATATTGCGCCTATGCTAATCTGTACCACATTTGTAATTGAGGAAAGAAAGTCATCGAAACGTCATGTTACGCTTTCTTTGCGAATTTGCCTTTGGAGAGAATGTTGGTCTAATTCAGCTAAACACTGGACTGTCTCAATTTGACGCCAAATGTCTTCTCAAAGATTGTTTGGAAATTGTTTAGAGTGATGAGATACCTTTCAACGGCAAGATGTTGATTTAAGCAAACTGGACAAATGTAAACGGTTCCAGAAATTTGAGATCATACGCCTGAAAAAATTCTAGGAAATCAAGAGGAAGAGCGGAATAAAATCTTGCATTTGCAATGTGCCCAAACCCGGTCATTCATTACAAACTTTCTTTTTCTTTGAGTTCCTGTTTTCGAGAAGTTCGTCTGAAGCGTCTCGAACCACATTGGCCGTTTTTATGCTAGAGAGGTTAAAGTTGTCTAAGACGTTAAAGTCGTCTCTTAGACAACTTTAACGTCGCTAGCATAAAAATGGCCATTGACTGTCTTTAGAGCCATTAAGTGCACTTTGTTTTTGCCACCCATACGTATTCTTTGAGAGCTTATTTTCGACAAACCGAACAAGTGTACTTGAGGTACTCATCTGAATTATTCATAACTTTCTATCATTCAGATATCAGTAATGTTTTCGTAACGTTCTTAATTAAGGTCATCGATTCTTTTTTTTTTTTGTATGCTAATACAACTTTATTTCCAGGTTTGCTCCAGCGATCAGGAAAGTTCCACTGGATCCAAGTGAAGAGAAAGTTTATACCTAAAAAGTGGAAGAAACAGACCCAAACAAAAGAGAGGCTGAGATACGATTTTGCAGTTTTAAAACTGAAGCGCAAGCACTCAAGAAAACACATGTCCGTGCAGATAAGCAGTCTTCTTCCCGGTTCGAAAATTCAATTCTCTGGTTTTCACGGTGACAAATGGTACAATTCATTGTGGTACACATATTGCTCTGTATACAGAAAAGCGAACGACATGATTCTCAACTTTTGCGATGGAGTTAGAGGTGTCTCCGGCTCTGGAGTTTACGTAAACTCCCCTAGTCGCCATGAGAGTGCGGTAGTTGGAGTGGTTTCGGCAATAGTTCGCGGAAAAGTCAAAGGCAAAGAGTTCAAATTTAATGTTATTAATTCCTTTACCGGCACTAAGGTACGGCAGATCTCAAAGTGGGTCCGGCGTTAGAAAGAATAGAAAACAGTCCACAGAAGCAATGGAATCGAACATTCTTTTTTAAATCGAAACGGGAAGCGACAGTTTGTTTCAGTAGTTTCGGAACATTGGTTACAACACAAAGTTTACCACAAAGACACATTACTAGCAACTCATGAACAACTGTTTTCTCCATGATAGGTAAACAATGTCACACGAATTTCCCAAGACGACGAGCACTTACCTTGATCAAGAATAGAATGCATTGAAACTCATTCGTTTCACAACTTTTCATATCCGAGCGAAGAAGGCTACATGAACGCTATGTACATTTGTTATCAGTTACAATTGGAAAAAAAGTTTCCGTGACCTTTACATCTTTAGAGTTGCGCTTTAGTGAATTACGTTCTATTTAGGTTTGTATAAAGGTTGATGTGGATTAAATGAAGATTATTGTAGCTTTAAGTTTTCCCGTGACACTCACATGTTGCGCTGGAACATCACATATACAATCCGCAGTAACTGTTTTTACTTCACAGCACTTTGATTAATTAAATAAAAGACGCTTTCAGCCTATATATTTGCTTATTTCGCTTTCTAGAACTTGTTTTCAATTATGATCAGTTAAAATGCTACTTGTCAATTTATCATGCTATGAAACAGGCATTATATGTCAACTGGTAATCCTTAATAAGGGAAAGGTAATAAATGCAACAGAAAATATATTGGTACTACCATGATCTTTACATTCTTTAAACCTTAGTGTCACTTAAAAGAGGGCGAGAACGAGATGCATTATATTTCACCAAACTAAACACAGATGGTTTTTGTAGTCAAAATCACCGTTGTCCTAAAGTGATTTATAACTATATCATTGATTTATACAGATTTTTCTAGGTGAAATTTAATTCCCTAGGTGTGTCCACAGCGTAACGCGTAGCAATGTTTAATTAAATGTTCATGCACAGTCTGCAACAACATTTGATGCCTCAGTTCTTACAAGTTATTTGAAGCGTTTCATACGATATTAAGTAATTTTAATATATTATTTACATCAGCTGAACTAAACTGACTTACGAATAAAGGGGGTAAGTTGCTAAAGAAATTGTGGTGCTGCGTCGGTGGGAGAGTAGAACGGGGTAACTTAACAAAACAACTGAGTTGATAACGTAAACTGGCCACCGTAAAGAGTTCAAAGGCTGACGTTTCGAGCGTTAGCCTTTCGTCAGAGCGATTCACGAAGGGCTAACGCTCGAAACGTCACACTTTAAACTCTTTACGGTGACCAATTTACGTTATCAACTCAGTTGATGATACTAAATTACCCTGCTAAACTGACTTATGTCGAAGAATTTACTCAGTCAGCCGTATATGACAATTTTATGTGTTTTACTGGAAAATATTTATACCTTTTACTGCCATTCGATGTTTCATTGGCCTCAGTAAACATTTACCCTAAACGATTTCGAATGAATGTTTACGTTATGTTTCTATGCACGTTGAGTAAACCAGTTGCTCAGTTTATGATTTGTAGTTTTGGCTGCAGGTAAATCTCACTGGAGTTCGACATGCATTACAAATATAAAGTTCCGAATTCAATGCCCCTAATTGCATCAAACTAATGCAGGTTTTAGGAGCGTGGGAAATGTGGAAATCTCGAGTTGTTTAGTACTTCCATCTGTGACGACAAAAGGCTGTTTACATTTCCATTGCCAATTTAAAAAATTGCATGTGTTTTTGGCTAGCTATCTGGAACCAAAACGCCAAAGGCAAGAATATCTTTTTTGCCCCCTGCATAGAGTGATGGAAGTATGATATGAGTGGTTCCTTTTAAGGCCAAAAATAATATTCAGTAGCTTAACAACACTAAACCTTAAATGGAGCGTTCATCGCAAAAAAAACTACTGCTATGATGTTGATTAAACTTAACCATGCGTGTACCATTAATGAGGTTTGGCAATCATTAAATGTCCTAATGTGTGATTCTCGTGCAAAATCGTTTCTTCGATTATTTCACAAATCCTGCAAAGCCATTTTGCATATTTCCTTTCAAATCAAGCTCGACTCCGTGACGATATCGCCAAAAGCAACAGCTCTAGAGTGGCTGTCTGCGGCAAGTTGATAATTTATTTCTTAACTAAACGCGTTTTCAAGAGGACCGCTCTTATTTTTTTTTTAAGGCCAAAACCTGAAAGCGAAAAAAAGTTACCTTTTCCTTTATGGGTGTGAATTTAAATACCACTTAAATGAATATGTATGTCAATATCAATTCCTTCAAGAAAGGCTAGAAGAAATGCTATTTCTTTCTTTATTTAAGGTTCACAACCTGTTTCGAGACCCCTCATTATTTACGAAAAAAATCACACTAAATCTTCGACAACGAATCAATAGAGAGTAACAGATTGGCATTATAAATATCGCCCCTTCGCCGCGTTAAGTTACAACTAGCAAAATGTAGCTAAACAATTAACTACTACAATTAACAACTACAATTAACAACTACAATTAATCTACTCAATCATTCTTGTCAACTAATGTCCTTAGGAATCGCTCTGATTGATATATGACAATAAAAGTGACACTGAAATAAAAACAATTTAAGAATGCATGAACTTTGTTTTAGTTGTAAGTCCTTTCATGAAATTCTCGTTCACCTCATTTTTCATTTTAATCGTTGCAGTTGTTGCAAATATTCCCCCTAAATGGTGCAGAGTTAACTCATCCGCTCCTGTCACCAAATAAATTACAGAAAAGAACTTGACTAAGACAATGTAATTTTAGGTCATGAAGCGTTTAAGCTTACTTAACTTGGTGCTCATTTTTCGATACTTTTGCCCCTTTAATGACAAGTGAGGTTGAGGTATCTTCTTATGTTTGGAAGGTATTTCGATAATTTTGATCGAGTTGTATTTGCAGCTATGAAAACTCGTGGTATACCGTATTATAAGAGCTCACGACTCTACAGGGGAGTTCTTAACAAATGATAATAGTTTGAGTTGTCATAAATTCATGTTCCCTTAAAGACCTGAATCTTGAAAGAGAGCTTTTCAAAACAAAAGCCAATTTCTGCGAATTCGTGGAACGTTGCTCTGAGAAAACAAGAGGGTGATATGATTCATCTAAAACTTAAGGATGATGTTGGTGTTCGAGGAACAACCAAATATTACACAAAGGTAATCGCAAGTGTGTATAGTTAAAGAGCTTTTAGATCTCGAATGCTGTTTGAAATGCTCTCGACAACCATAGGACAACTGCGCACAGGTCTCCGTTCACAAAAGAGATGAAATGGACGTCGCTTGTTGAACAAATGTACAGTGTGTGACATATACATGTTAGCCTATGTATGTTTAGAACTAGTTGATACTACAACATTCACTTGACTGTTCAACCCGTTAGTAATGTGGTTACTTTCTCCGCATAGATTGTTCCAGCAAACCATTGGAATGTAACGGCAGTAGAGCAGTCTTCGCTTGAAAACCGAAAATTCATATTCTTTGCTTTTAGTTACTTCCTCTGGACTGAGAGCCACTTACAGGTGACCTGCTTTTATGTCATACATAATAGGGAGGAACTTTCAGCTAAAACAGAGAATTACAACAAATTTTAAGACTGTTCGTAGATATATCATTTGACGATCTTAGCAAGAAGGTATACATAAAAGTGAAAAAAATTGAATTGAAAGTTAGTGAGTAGGTGATCTCATGATAGCATGTTTTATTCTTAGTGAGTTTTTTCTTGCAGCAACAGATTGAAAGGTTACATGACATTCATTTTCTGGCTTCAGAATCCACCGACTAACTTTGCGTTCAGCCTCAATAAAATTACTTTAGAAGTCTTTATTCGTTAGTTGGTGCGCTACTCTTTTTTAAACTAAAGCATTTTACGTTCATCCTAGCTATTACTCTATATTGTCATAAAATATGTTTCATGTATTTCCCTATTGTATCCTGCTGAAGATTGTTGTCGAATTTAAATGGCCATTCCTGACATTTTCCTGTGGTGTTTTCCTAGACAGTATTATCCGCGTTAGTTTGTCTTTTGTTAATCCTATTATTTTGCATGAAAACCTTTGCATTACATCTCTGGCCATCTAAAAAATGAAAAAGCAAGTAACTATCATAACTCATCAATTTTTTTTTGCATTCAGTAAAAATTAAATCAGTTATTCTAAACAGTGATTGCAACGATTATGAACGTTTACGAAAAGAAATTCCTGATTTCGATAATGTTTAGAATTTCTATTCAGCAAATGCGAACACTAAAACTTTACGGCAACTACAGATACAGTAAGAAGCAGCCAAAAATTTCTACCAGAGTAGCACTTTATTGTGTTTCTTCCGAAGCCTTCTTTACATATACCAGATACCGGTCGCCCGTTTTTTCTTTGCTAATGAAATACAATAAATACAAATACCAGTTAAGGTGATTATATTTTAATTATAATGGTAATAGTTCCTCTTTCCTATGAGGTAAATGATTTCTATCGTTAGAAATTGAAAGCTTGGAGTTTTCAGAGAGCTTAAAACTTTATTGAGCAGAAAATTATCGTAGTCTTCATCTAAACAGGCGTCTGTAGGACTCAGGGTATACTGTAGGCCATCGAGAAAACAAATCTATACATTTTGGTACAACTGAGAATACACCTGCACGACTGAAGTAGCATTTCAGTGGGTGAAAGTTTGTGAGACCTCCCAATAAAGCCATTAATCTAGGAGCTGGTACAAATATCCGATTTAGCGAAAATTTTCAGTTGCCACTTTGGGGAGAGTGGAGAGAAGGCTCTTGATCGCCAATAGCTGCTTACCATTACAACCAAAAACAAAGGAAGCATTTAAATAAACATTAACTAGGGATTTTACGGACTATTTTCATTAGGTCTGAATTTCCTTATTACAAGGATTTAATGGGAAAACATTTATTTAGATTATTTACAATTACCTGTGGTAGGTTTAAGGTTATATACATGCAATCCCTACGTATTCAACCCTTTTATGCACATGTAAAAGGCTGTCGCCTCTGTTATCTTATAGTGTCCCCAAACGTGTTTGCTTTTGTTCAGTCTCTTTTTCTTTTGGATCGATGATATTTCACGCAGGTTTGCGAACAAAAACAATATACGTAAATTGGTCGTGAAATCGAAACTTGCCGTAGGCAAAAATGGTCTCTTTCACATTAATGTTAATTGCCTTTTCCAATGAAAAACATCTTAACAGATGCCAAACCGTTTAAATCGCAAATATCTCATTTAATATTGGGTGATACCCTGAAGAGATTATCGCATGATTTTCACTCCAATTTCTCTTAATGGCTTTTTATGCGACCGCTTTCCATCAACATATTGAGAAGTTGCACCACTATTGCATAATCTTCTGTAAGTTGTTCTCCAGTTGGTTTTCATTAAATGTGCAATGGTACGAAGCACAATATCCTCTGCACTTGATTGACACTTATAAAGGTATTGTAAGCTAACTGTACGTTCAAATAGCTGGTTACAAAAATGAATCATAAATATAATACATGGCCATAAATACGGCAGCGTTAACTTTTAAATTAGTGTTCACCTTAAACCTGTTGTCGATAGAATTTTTTTAACAAAGTTTCAGGTCTTGTTGTGGGGTTACTTTCGGAAACGCATCAAAACCTGAAATACATCTGCTATCTTAAATTCCTTTTGATGACTTATTGCTCAGTCGCTGTTTTGAATTAAGCTACAATTCGACCAAGAATAGACAAAATGAGACTCTGTCAGTTGCATGTTCTGCAGGCACATCTTTTTGCCACTGGATAGCGAATCACTTTCCTTTCCCCCCAACAGGTTACCGTTTTTTCTTCAATAGTATCTTCGATAGGTGCACAGCACCCACAACTCGAAGCAAATCCAGTTCCATAGCTGAAAGGTTTCGCCGACGACAAGCAGCCGCCTCGACAACCAAAAGTTGTAATTCTGAAGCTACAGTTGGCCTTCCCCATGATGAGGTAGCCTTTCGATTTTCGGCAGTCCGAAGGTTGTTGTAGTCTGTGGGTCGATTTGCCCGTGGTGGCGGCTAATAGTAACACAACAACCATGACTTGGGTAACGGAAAACAGCATTTTCAACGGCCTGACGAAATAGAAATAGTTTCACTTTAGAAAGGAACATGCCTCTTTAACCTATGTAAAATCTGAGGCTGACCTGTAGCTAAGACTGTGAAAGTGTGAATGTGAACTTAGAAGCTCCTGAGAAAGAGTCGACTTGCAATTAATGCTGCCGCTCTCATACTCAATAAAAAGTGGCACAGGGAAAGCTAACACCTGAACTGTATGTTTCTAATCAATTTTTGTGGAAAATTGTACGCATGGTGAAGGTCACATTGACATCAGGCATAGGACAAACGTATGAATCCCCAAACTGAAGTATTTTTAAGGAACTTAACTGAGCAGCATTCAACTTTCGTGGCGGTGATCCTGCGCAAGTCAATGGTAATTAAAGCGAACCTGCTTTGTTTACAAGAAGTCTTTAAAACCAAAAAGAGTGGCCTGTACGGCTCAAAATGCTCAGGAAAGCCGCCTGGAACTTAACAATAACTTATAATTTAGTTTACCCACTTACACAAGAAGACTCCGAGCGGTGAAAGCTGATTTTTTTTTACCAAGCTTCCGTTTTTAGCTCGTGCCTACGAAAAAGGCAAGTAATCAAAAGGCGACACGCTTTCTACCTTTGCCTTTCGCCAATTGTTTTCTGATTAGTAATTACTAATACATAATGAGAACAAAGATTCTCTGTTTACAATGGAAATCGGCTCCTAAGTGACAAAGTTTGACATCTGAACTACTCTACCTTATACGGCCTCGTTTGAATTACTCTATCAAAGTCATTAACGTTCGGCGTGTGACGACTTCTATTAAACATAGCTTTCGATTGTGAAAGGAAAACATTTAGTTGCGTCTTTCGTTGGAAAGAGTGTAAGTGAATATAGACCACCGCGTAAATGACAATGTTTGTGTTGGCTGAAAACGTCACAAGAAATATCTTACTCCCGGCACACTTAGTTGATTTTAATATGACTGCAACTAAGCTAAAGGTTTGATTTCCTTTTAACGCATGCGTATCCTACATTCCACGAATTACTAGGTGAAATAAGTTTTCTCATTGCTTTCTAGGTCTTGAATTGAACGAACAGGGATAGTTACAAAAATGCATTGTGGTAACCTTGGCCCTCTCTCAGCCTCTTAATAGCCTTCGGGTTTCATAAACAAAAACAATATAGTTAATACCTTCAATCTCGGAAAGTGCTTATTTCGAGACAAGAACAGAGTTAATTTTCCTTCAATATCACATCATTAGAATTAAGTTGTCATTCTGGTTTACAGTTTACTGAAACATGTTAATGGATGAACTAGACCCTTAGACACATCTGGGAGCCTTTTCAAAGCTTTGCCTAGAATAAAAACTCATTCAAGTGAGTCGCTTTGCCAAAATAAAAAAAGAAATATATACATCAGGCAAACACTTTGCTACAAATTCACATCCTAGCTGGTCTTCTTTTTCTTTGAACAGAGCAGATATGGCTCTCTGCCAACAATCACCAATATTGTCCTAGCACTGCCCGAAGCAATATCATGTGGGGCTATTTAAGGTATTCTTTGTTTCCTTTTTGCTATTAACATGTAGAGTTTTTCAAATTGAGCGAGAAAGTGGTGGTGCGAAGATTGGGAGCTGCAGTTTGTCCTGACGAGAACTACGTTGTTACGAGTTGTGTGGGATGATTAAAGCAGCTCAATAAAATTTCTAGAGATATGAAAAGGGCGGGAATCTTAATTGGTCTTAATTCTTCTTGCATCCGTTTCCCATTAGAAACATTGAGTGAACATGATACAAATAATTATCAACAGTTAAACGTTGTAGGAAAGCAGTGTTGTAGCGTACGTGACCAGAAAACTAAATACAACTCGTACAGCAATAGTGTCCTCATGCAATCTTAAGAATAAGCTACTAAACGTTTTTTTTTTTCTGCAACAGGTGCATCTATACATACCAAGAAACAATTTGCCAGTTGTTAAGTAATTGGAATCTTCTAGAAGATCTGGAGTAATCTTCCTTGACTTGTACATTCATCTAACAAGAGAGTTGATGAAAAGCTTGATACGCGTGATTAATCTTGCCGGGCACGTGACAGCAAGAACTAACTTGATTAACCGTTTTGTATGTAGACTTATGTAACTGCCCCTTCTTTCCAAATGAGAGACCATTTCAAATGAGAGACCTTTCCAGCATTCTTTGTTTGTCTAAATGTTACTTTCACATCATTTAATTTCTCTAGAACCTCCTCTATAGACTTTTGTTCATTCCCACACCGATGCAAAAAGATTGGCTTTTCATGATTCGACCAAGGCTGCGCCAGGTAAGCTTGCCTTGGTAACATTTAGAACCGATGGAGCTTCAAGTTACAAATCCCAAATTTTATTTATTCTGTGTAAATCCATATATAATTCTACAATCTCCACGTGATCAAACAAGAAAAACTGAATGAATTGGCATTTACAAACAGCTGTAAGGCAATGATGTTTCGTAATATTTTTGGGTTTCTTTGCTCGGATTTTGAATTTACCTTCATATTTCCTTCTCCGAGTACATAAGTATCGACTGAAAACTTTAAAACTTTGACTAACTTCAGGTAAATTTTCATAGGGTTTTAAAGGATTATTATTCTCTCTGAAACCTTAATTGTTTGCCCTGGGACCTCATCTACTCCAATTCTCCAAGAAGACAGCCTTGCAATGATCGATATCACGGGGAAATTATAACAACAAACCAAGCAGGGAACTCACGGAACAGTGCATAACTTTCAATCCATACAAAACTGATATTTCTCAAGAACCTTGCATATAGCCGATTTTTCTAAGACGCCTTGTCCCAAAGTCCATAGCATAGATTACAGCTTATTGAAAATTTAAAACCTATTATCTATCTCTTCAAATTTGTATTTCAATGTTTACTCAAGGGGATATGTGTTTTTGTGTAATAATGTGCTTTAAATATATTTAGGCATATGTTTATGGTTAGAACGTGAGAAGGAGTGAATCGACCGTTGAATCCATTCGCCGCCATTGTTATGCAGCTAAAAATGGCAGATTGACTGCGTCACTCCCGAAATCTCGAGGGACTTCTGACGTGCCGCTGAGAGCAGCCAGACGACAAACAGAATAAAGATCCTAGTTTAACCTATGTTATTTTTCACATCATTTTAATTAAGTATTGTCATGGTAACGGTTTGGTGTTTTGTGCAGGCCTTTTTTGTGCATTCTAACAGCCATTTTGACGTAAATTACTAAACAAGCAGATGTTTGATGTCATGATGGAAACTTGCACCAATAACTTAAATTGGTACCAGGCTGTTAACGAAGAAGCAAACAGGTAAATATCTCTATTAGTTTGCTTCTTTTGAGAATGTTTAAAAGTTTTAGTGATGAATGTGGTCTTGGCAGTATTATATAATTTATGCCCCTATGCCTGCTAAGTTAGCTGGCGGAGGGGGAAACTACGGTGAAGCTTATCCTTCAGTAGCATGTATGAGGCCCAAGAAAGATAAAAACTTTCTTTAATCTAGGTATCTTTATGATATGTCTTATTTTTCTTTCAGACTTTGCAGACTCTTTTTCACTTCTATCTGGCACTGGGTCATTACTAGAAGGTAGGCTTGGTACAAGATGATTGAATGCAATCTGTGTGAGTCTGACAATACTTTTAGGCAATGCAAGGGAGCTTGGAATCTACTTGGAACTACCTTAGCAAAGAAAACTTTTGATAAAGTCCACTTCACGAGATTGACATCCCCTTACAACCTTATGAAAGTTTTATTATACATGCAGAATAAAACCGTTTAAACTGGGCAGTCAGTGGTATAAGAATCGGAAGGATATATTTTGTTTTGGAAAACGTTCGTATTGAGAGGAGAAAATCTAAATGACCAAAACGTTTGAAGATGGGCTTTTCTGAAATTACTTTAAACGAGCCCTGACCCCTCTCACAATCCATAGCCTTTCAGTGGTAATTCAAAATAAATTTTTCTCCCTGTGGCACAATTACGTGGAGTCTTAGAGTAGTGTAATTTCTTCGACAGGCCATATTGGTTACATCCGTTCATCATGTAATGTGATGTTTGTTGAATATCTTTTCTATCGAAACGATCTAAAAAATACATATCGTGTCATTTCACTGTTAATCTTCCTGAAATTGGCAATAATTTCGTATATTGTGCATTTTCTAGGTGTTTTTTTTGGATTTAGGTAACTATTTCGGCGGATGATTACAGTATAAACCTATTGATGCCGACATTTTCGGCGTGGTGAGGTTCTCATGTAATAGTTTTAAAAAATGTTGATAAAGATAAACATCAGAGAGAAAATAGAAACAGGATCTCCTTTTTTGGGGCGGTTTTTTTATTTGTTCTGATGCGGGAGACGTGGAACCAAAATGATACGTACAGAGTCAGCATAGTCTGACTATATTAGTGGCTAGGTTTAAGGTACAGCCGGTGCTCTTGTAACCCTAATGGAACCCTTAACATTGGAAGAGAAGAAAAGCACAGGGAAAAAGCCCTTAAATTTGCCAGAAAATTATATATCAAATTGTTCAATACGCCCGAGATTTTCTTTCTATGAAATTTTTTTTCAGTTGTTACTTTGAAAACCTTGCTCCAGCTGCAGCAAAATGTACCGTGAACCAATGAAATGACGCACGTGATTAGTGCCAGTACAGGCTTAAATGGTGTAAGTTTTGTCGATTATATCTCCTAAACAAGCAAGGTGAACCATCTTTTTTTATTCTATTTTTCGAAACAGACCTTGGTAGGGAACATTTAAGGACAGTTTAAAAAAAAATGTTCGATACCTTTTTTTTTCTGAGGAATCACTTTAAAGGGATTAGGAAATTTTAGCAGCATACAAATATAATAATATTTAGTACAATAATTTAGTTATGCTAAATAATTCAAACTGTTAGAAGGTTTCAAACCTTTTTAAGCTGTCTAACTCAAAAATCGACAAATATATATGGAGTTCTATTCGGATTTCACCCTTTTCAAGCTGCTTTTGACAGGCGACATCAGCGGAGAAACTATTATGCAATCATACTTAACACACTAGATGCTTCAGCTTCAAATGCTGTAGACAACAAAGATTTGAAGACAGATGTTGCGTAAAAGCTCACTGCATGCATAACGCTTTTTGTTTCTTCGAGTGACAAATTACTAGTAGTGAACACCCTCTCCACTTATGAAGGGGTCAAAGCAAATAATAATGAGGACACAAAATGTGTGAAAAAGCCAAAAAAAAAAGCATCTAAAGTGACGTTTGTTAAAATCTGTTTTACACGCAAATTTATCTTCAAATGATATCATGTGTAATAGTTATGAATAAGCAATTAAGCAATAGGTAATTTGCCTTACCCGAGAGCTATAACAGGAAAGAGTTCTGCAGAGGAACCAGGGTTATTGCTATAGAGTTAGACAGAGGAATCGAGCTTTAAATCTTCTATACACACCTTTAAAATCAGTGTATAAATAATGTTGAGCTTAAATTATGGATTTTGAAATGGAAGCAACAAGTCCCCAATTTACTGCACCCATATGTTTCGAATCTAACTTTTCTTTACCGTTTTTCTTTCTTTTTTTATTTTGTTTTGTTGTTGTTTTTTTTTTAATTTTTGCCACATCGACAGGATTGCATACTTCAAATACTTATTTTACCTCAGAGATCTATTAAGCTGAAACACAAGCTGTCACTTACTACTCGTTCTCCCTGACTTCTCTCAATATCTTTCAATAACTACTCTTACCTGTAAAACTTCAACTATTCCTCTGGATAAGAGAGAAAAAGTAATCGCAATAATCTTTCTGTTGTTTTATAGGCGATAACATTTGAAGCATCAATATCACTTGTGGCAACGACATCTCAACCAATACATTTTGAGATCCCCTTAACGAGTTTTGCATAGTGCAAATATGTCTTTGGGAAAAACGCTTTCTGGCAAATATATATTTGTTGTATCGCCATTTTTCTAAACTTGTCGAAAAACTGGATAATAGAGAGAAAAGGCATGATAACAGTATTAATAAAAGAACAGACTTGATTATGACTTTGCGTGACTATGAAACCAACTTTCCATTCTACCTGTCCTTGAGCAAGGACGAAATCACATCAAATACCTCGAAACACCGCCGCGTTATTAATGATTCGACCCCATGTGAGGGATCTATCATGCAAATTTCAAGTTGCGTTCAGTTTCGTAGTTCATGCATTAAAGTAATCTAGTCGAATCAGTGTCGAATCCTGGAAACAAGCAGTGTACGTCTGGTCCGAATTGCAGTTTGAAACAAAACGCAAATTGTATCACCAAAGATGTACGTGTAGATGCTTTTTCCAATATTTTAATCGTATAATTTTTTAAAATATGTTTATTAAAAGAGTAGTAAGTAAAGACTACAATAAAAAAATAGATGTGCACGTGGTTTCGAATGAGCGTAGATTCCTCGGCTATAGTGGCCCTCCGTGATACACTCAATTGCACCACTGATGATGTTTAAAAATACTTCTCATTTTATATATGGAGTTGCAGCTGAAGAAACAGCAACAATACAGAGAGTCACAAATAAAACATGCGCACGTTTTCTTTTCATTCAATGCTAGCAAAGTGAAGAAATTTCTCGAATTTATGGTTATTATGATTATTTTTCTTGAATGTAGGAATACTATACTATGCTGGAGCTGTTACATGCTTTTCGTTGACGAGATAGAATGCTGTGATTGAACATAACTGTTGTCTTGTACTGTTGTGGATAGTTACACAATAAGCTCCAATCAGGCCTTCTAACTCTCTTACATTAGTGAAAAAGTTGTAAAAACACTTACCAAAACGTGTCACTTGCGACAAAGCGTTAACTTAACTTCTTGACTCCGTCGGAAAAACGAGGTTGCACTTTTCGAGAATCTTTAGTCTTTTCTGGCTAGACGTCTTTTGATTAAACTTCGATTGCTCCCATTCTTGAGGTGTCATTTAAGGTCGTCTAGAATCCAAGATACAACAATGAGTCTAAATTGCTTTACAGGCTTGGCAAGCCATTGAGATTCTCGAATGTTCTCAATTACCTGTAAGGCCTTATTTGAAAATAACCATTAACTAGGTTCCGAAATGGATTAAACCTTTTGAGTGAGATGAGGTAAATTTCTTCCCTCAAGATGTGATGTGACTTTATTAAAATCAAACGAATATGTCGCAACAATTATGGTTATTTTCTGCTAAGTAATTAATTGAACAGTGTGTCAAATGTAAGGTGTGCCTTTTTTGTGAATTTTTTCCTTTGTGGTTTACATAAAGAAGGAACAACATAATTCTAGACCGTTAATGACCATGTCGTTTTTCCTCGTCGTGTGGATATGCAAATTGATAGCAGTTTTGATCGTGTATAAAACTCAGGTGTCAGGGAACTAAATTGGGCTAGAGGAATTCATATTGTATTCCGAATAATAACTTACGAGGCATTGCATTACCCATACCAAACAAATAATCATGAAAAATTTCATTTAAACTGAGGTTATTATCGTTTCATTATGTAAATTACATGTATCTCGAGCAAAAAGTGCAAGTTTTGGCTCTGCTTCTAATCTTCCATTGCTTAAGAGACTAATGAAAAGGAAACTTCTATCAATTATTTCCATGAATATGAATTATGAAACCGATGTTTGCAACATATTACGTCAAATGCAGCGGAGACGATAGAGCGCAGTGGAAAGGTAATATTTGTCTTACGATTAATAAAATCGTCATAATTTTTCTCTTCTTGAGAAAACTTGTTACTTTCCTTACCCTATCCATCACAACAACAGATAAGTGGCATGACGAAAGTTACATTATTTTGACTCGTTTTCTAGGTATTAAATTACCAACAGAAGCCGACATAACATAACTCAACGCTCATCTTGCATTCTTCCCTTAAATCTTTTATACCCACCTTAAATTGTATCCTAATTTCTAAGAGATGAACGCTTATACAGGTTGTGTGGCTCGCGCTCACCTGAATGAGAATGACGATGTCATTTAGGTAATGGCTAAATATAGATCACTTTTGACAAACTTCTCTTGAACACTTATACATCCGGGATAAATAGAACATTATTTTAATGACAGCCATAAGTAGTTTTATCAATGTTTGAAAGCAACTGAAAATAAATGAAAGAGACGAATTACTGCAATTAGCTTTGCGCGAATGCAGTTATTTCTTCTCACGTTTTTTTTTCCTCAAGATGTACTCAAAGAAGAATCGAGAAAAATTTGACTATAATTAATTTATCTTGAAATATCTCTCGTGTCTGGTAAATTAAAATCACTCATCCACAAACGTAGCTTAGGTTCTATGCTTTCACACTTCTAAACATCAAGCGCTTTCGAAGTTGTAATGCTTTAGTTATTGGCTAATTTTTGCAATTCTCCTTTACTAAAGCTCCGTCCCTATGTCTTCCCATTTTTTTCTTTGAGTCCCAATGAGAGACGCAACATCGCTGAACTTTGCTTTATGCTTTCATCCGCAGCCCTCCTGTCTCCAAGTTTAAATGGAAAGTTTTGAAGGAAACAGACTGCTCTATGATGGCAAGAAGTCGAAGGGATGAATTCACCGTCCAAAATGAAAAACATTACGTCTCTTCCAATTGACCCAGCCATACCTAGCATTAATGCTTTATAATTAACACAATTTTCAGACAAACGTACCCCCAGCTTGCATATTTGCTTCTCTATGGCACAGTCCAAATGATTAAGTTTCAAGATGGCATAATTGCTAACCAATTAAGACCGATATAGGGTGAAAGAGATGTTAACCTTATGTCCACGCCGCGGTTGCGTAATTTTTCTTACTCTCCGCTTGTTTCACCATGATCTTACTCGTACCACTGCTGTCTTACATTCGCCAGAAAAGGTGCTCCTGATTCGCATCAAATTTTCTTTTTAAATACAATTAAAATAGTATCATTCTTTGCATTGGTAAACACTTAAAAACACTTTGGCATTAAACTGAAGTGTTCCAATACTTCAACAAGCGATGATCATTTCTTTTACTTGCGGTCATACTCTCACAAGGCTTTTGCGGCGCCGCTATAGGATCATAAAATGGCGCATTTACCCAAACGGCCCATAGCCTGCATTGAAACAGGATTTCTGGCCTGTTAGGGATGGCAGCTTCATTGAACAACTAATAATGCTTTTATTAATACTATTTTGCGTGCGTCGACGTTTTGCACTAATGACACTTAAGAGAATGACAGTGGTTCTGCCCTACGGCGAGAGAAAGAGTTTCAGGTACTCAGAGGGCTCAGACGCACGCGATGTACTCACAATAACTCGAGTGGATATCGTTAATTCTCAGCTTTGGTATATCAATATTTTACCCACAACGATACTCATAGGAAGAGCGACGGTATGCAAAAATGCACGACTGGCTACTACCATGCGCTGAGTTTTAATAATTGAGTGTAAAAATGTTTTGGAAGGTCCAGTGGCCTTCTCTTCCGGTCAGCTCTGGCCTTCTCACTCAAAACTGTTCGAGAAAACGATCGAAGAAGATGACCGAAAATGTCACGAAACAAAAATCAAAAGGCCCTTCACTTATTGTGCAAGTGAAAGCACTTCGTGGCCTTTCCGTCTGTCCAGCTGTAACCATTATTTATTATTTAAAAATAGCACATTAACTACAGTATTAGGTTTTTGCGTTATCAGTGCGGCACCTTAAAGTTCTTATAGATAGCATAGCATGGACCGCCGTCATCAACTTAGTCTTGGTAAATTTCGCGGTAGTTAGGCAAAATATGTATTCCGTTTTAGGGGATGAACATTGCCAATGGTTTTGATATAATAGTTAAGTCATTTTATCTACATAATATATTTCTTAAGCCCTAACTATTTTGACAGAAAAATGGTGTTCAATCTCAAGTGCCCCATGCAAGATGGTTGCCAAGATTCTCGAACTGTTGATCCATTTTATAGGACTTTTCCCTGTTCAGAGCTGAATTTTCCGTAATTTCGCAGTAATTTAATAAGTATAAGAGAGATCAGTAGAACGCCGCAGACTTCCATTCATATTCTGCTGAGGCAGATTAGTATTTTAAGGTACCGTTGATCTAAATGCAGTCTTAAAAATTTAAGCAGTTACCTGTGAAGATGATCCTGTCTATATTCGATCTTTTTTCTCCCAAAGAGATTTTTCAGCAGCTTCGACCTCTTTCCAGCCAGAGATCGCCTTTCTTATAGATTCACTAGATGTAAAAAGAGAAGAAAAAACCAAATGATAACATTTAAATATGTCATAATAAACTTTTCGACGACATTTCTTCTTTGAACTCGATGCTAACTATATCTTTATAGGGTTTGTATTGGAGCAGTGGGTAGATTTCCTCGTAGTTGAGTTTCTATATATATTTTGACCAATATATCATTATCGTTACTGGCACTTTAGTTGCATAAGGAACTTTGTTCCCCAAAAGACTTTAGGTGTTAGAATTAGTACGACTCCACTCTCTATAACCTGTCTTTGTTGAAAATACATACTCAATACGTTCTTCGTTTTCTTATAATAGCCTTCCTAGCGTTTTTCGTCCCTGAACCATTTTTATATATTAGTTCTTTGAGATACGCTTGAGCAGTTAATTTTTTTTTGTCAGTCTTCTTCAACTTCAATTTGCACTTTTATTATGATCAAGATCGAGTCTTTCGAGAGACACACTGATATTTTCACATTTTGTGTCTTTAACGAGTAAAAATGCAGCTGCTAACGTAACTTTGGCGGCAAATTGCTAATTGCTAAATTAAAGTGTGGATCGTTGAATACTGAGAGGAAAATTCAGTGCTTGTGTACTATATTTTTTAAATTTTGAAACATTTTATAGAGTAGTAAACTTCAAATAATTACTTTATCGCAGATGTATATGGTTCTGGAACACCAAGTGGTATGTTTTTCAGGTTTTCGATGGGACTTTCTACAATCTCTTTTAATTAACTAGTCCCTCGAGCAAATTTGTATAAGAGAACAAATAAACAATAACAGCCCTTCAGTTGTTTTCTAGGCTGCAACATATCAAACATCAGTATCAGATGTGGCAAAGAGATTTCGGCCAATGTGGTTTTAGATCCCTTGATATTGACAAGTATAGTTTTACGAGGTACTGCATTTTCTCGATTAAACGCCCCCGGCTTTTATTCCAAATTTTGCCCATTGAATCGAATGTTTTTTTTTTTCTAAGGGTGCAACGTTTTTGTGTAAAAAGAAATTTGCCATCTTTTTTTTTTTCACGGTTACATTGTGTTAACCATCTGGGGCAAAGTTAGTCAAGAGGACGCAATTTGTTCCATCGTTCGGCCATAGTAATACATCAGTCGCCGCCACCCCCTGTCTTTGTTGACAAGACTATCCAACATTTTCTCAGTTTTCCTTTGTTTTTCTGCTAGTTCTTTTCGTTTCTGAGCCATTTTTATACATTAGTTCGTTGGGATAAGCTTGAGCCATTGCACTTTCATAATGAAGTTAGTTTGAATTTCAAGAAAATCTCTCCAGTATTTCTAACACTTCTGCTCTTTTGTCGAATAATTCACTGCGTAGCTGTTAAAGTAAAGTTGAACACGAATTAGTTATTTCAAACCGATTATCCTGATAAAAAAATGTGATATCGCGTTCTTGAATGCTCAGGTGGTGCCACTTTTACTTCAAAGTAGAAGTCATGTCGCACTTCAATGAATTTATGATCAGGTATACAGATAAAATATAACTGATGACTATCTCATTAACTGTAACTGTAATGATGAATCAGTTGTGTATTAAATGAAACTGAATAAGCTCGAACCATTTTACTAGGGAGCTTTAATTTCTTTGGTCAATGGAAAACAAAAAAGCTTTCCCCGCTTAGAAGCTTTTGCTGACAAATCGTGTTCATGAACCATGAAGCTGTAACGGAGTTTGCCATGACGTCAGGGAATTTTCTGTCTTATGGGATACGTTAAACGTTGAAGAAAGAAAGTTGTACATAAGGATCAACGGATTGTGAAAAAATAGGACATGTCTACTTATGGGATTTGTCAAATAATAGAGCTATTATTTTTCTCCGACATGATCAATGATTTAGTATCTTTGTCGTAGAGATGCCGCTTGGCTTCACGACACATTACAGGTCAAACACTTAAATAGTGCCTCTGCAACTTGCAATACCTCCTAGCACCGAATGGAAACTAGTACTTTTTCACCTCACCCACTTATCTAGTCATTATTTCGTTAGCACATTTGTGGGTTATCGATATTCGAACAAACAATTATCTATCACAGAACCACACTGGTTTAAATGAGCCCAACCCTCTCGTAATAGCCTCAATACAGTACAGCACTACAATCAAAGCACATTTACTGAAGATCTTTTAAGCGCCGAACAAAGGGAAATTTATGATGTACGAACGAGGCCATGTTGAAACTTTTGAGAACAAACCGTATGTGAACCGATTAAGGTATTCCCACTATCTTGAACTAAAACAAAGCGACAAAACCACTCGAGCTAACCTGAATTGGAGGCTTCTTCACTTCACGTAGCTTTTCAACCGCTAACGAGATCATCTGCTTTCAAAAGTAAATTGCTTAAATGGTTGTGGAAATAATTGATCGGAACTAGCTGAATGCCGAATAATATATTCAACATCGTAAAAGTTTATCAGAACCACAACAAAGAACTCATTATTGGGAAAAGGAAATCGGAAATAATTGTCAGTGTGATGTTGCATTGTTTGAACCCACGGTCAAACAAAGTGTCTTTCAAATAATTGTGAATTGATAGCCTAAGGCCTATATGTTTAACATTCAAACCACGACACTAGTTTGGCCGAAAGAAATTCATGTCTCTCGAAGATTCATGAGAAAATTTCCATTTCACTTGTTCCATTGTTAAAAAATGACCAGTTTTCTCCTTGAGCGGAACTTTTCCAGTCATTCGTTCCAACTTTACATCATTCCTGAGAGAACCGAACAGGTATGATAGCTTTGTTTTGTTGTGTTGTGTTTTTTTGGTCGTTCGCTTTACAAATAAGATCTTAAGCACCCTGGAGATGGCCATTGTTAAAGGATATGAAAATGCGTTGGTGTGTTCAACACGCTTTAAGTCTCCAGTTTTTCACCTAGTAAAGCTTGCACCTTTTCTCGAAGTATGGATTTTATCTGTAGTACTTGATGAAAGAACTTCTCACTGGTCATAGTAATAATGGCTAAAAATAGTTTTTATCGACGGCACATAAGAATCTTCTGAAACACCATGTATGAAACACATGCTGTTGACAAGCTTTCCCGCCGACTGATGGCGCAACAATTGCCTTTTATCAACTGATCAAGCGGTGAATACCAGCCGTATGTAGCAATTTTCAGTATCAATTAATTGTATTGGAGATGTTTTTCGTCTTCTGAATTCGCAGTTTTCCACGATAAGCTCAACTGGAGTTCTAAGTTTCTTAAATGATTTCGCTTCGGTAATTAAGCAAAAAGATAACAAAATAGTCGAACGTGATTGGTTATTGGTAGCCTCATATCAGCATTCTGAACTAGGTCTGTGTTTCCGTCATGCTTGTTATTGGTCAAACAAGAGAATATCATCAGTGCTATCGACTGATATTTGCTTTTGGATAAGGTCATACAGTCCCATAGGAACGAAATTAGTTTTGTTATTACTGAGGAGGTCCAAAGGAAGCATTGCCGCTTTTTAGGTATTTTAATGGCCGTGGGTGGGAACATAGGCACCCTTCCCGGGAAATTCATAAAATTCAATCACGTTCTAATGCCATTTGGTGCCTTTTGAAACACTTTAGGGGAAAAGCTTTCGGTCACTTTCAGCTGATCCTCTAAGAAGCCATTTTTCTTCCTATACGTTGCCTAGCTGAGGTTTCTCGCAATCACACACATTGGTGCGAGAGCATTGTCCTTCTCCTTTAGAGAAGATGTGAGGGCACGGGGCTAGCCCTTCCCCAGTTTTAAGGATAGCACACGTGACATGCTTATATAACTGAATATTCGGCGTCAGTTACGCGCTCTGTTATAGTGATAAATATCATAATGATATATGAAAGGAAAAAATGCCAACCGCTATGTTTTAATTTATGAACACTTTTAATCGATGGTTTTTTTTCCGCTTTGTTACTTCGTCATAAATTGATAAATTGGTCACAGGTCTTTATCAGTTGTCGATTATGTTACTAATGACTCGTAGCATTACAGACCAAAGTGAACTCCATTCTTTCTTACTCTCATTACTGGTTCAGACCAGACACATTAATTGAGCCATTAAACATTCACAGAATCAAATGATTACAACATTGCAAGGTTCCTCTAGTTGATCATGCAAAATAATGGACCTGTAATGCTGTCAATTATACACGATTGGTAAATTTTCTGTCTACTTTAAAACAGTTTTTCTCTTATAGAGTGATAAATCCAGCCTAAGTGACGTGAAAGAATCATTATGTTTAGTTATAAGACATCGTAGATAAACGAACGATTTTTTTTTGACAAATGCGCTCATGAAATGTCATCTAGCGGTATATTTGATACAGAATAGCTAGCTAATGAAAACTATTCATTGCTCCATCAACTGAGGCATATGTTTTACTATCTACTAGATGCCTTTTTTAAGCTTGCCTCTCAAGATTAAGTGAGTGTAATAATGTAAACCTTTCTTAAGAGACTGGAGTGATTTTTTTCATCTTAACTGAAACCAATAAGCGATATTTTAGACAAAAAAAACAGAAACAGAGAGTTTTATTGATCGATGAATTCTTTCATCAATTGGCTATCTTAGTTGTTATAAATACCAGCATTTACAGACCTGCATTGGAATTACGTAATGTCTACGACAACAAAGGCAATCTATTTAGGGAGAAAGAAAGTCAAATTATTTCAAGTGCTGTTTTATTCCTTCTATCACTCATTAACGCGACTGCTACAAAGGCTACAGTCTACATGCTTTGATTGATGATTTATTAACAGTAATTTGTCCCTTTAATTCCGAATAATAACTGACGTGCGCAGATGTGGTCGAATCAATTAGCAAGTAAAATTATAAAAATACACAGTCTAAAATTTTTGTTGGAAAACTGGTTTATACAAAGCTAAGAGCGGTTCTTTTTGCAAATTTATGAACCTTAAACAGTTGCCTGTATTCATTTTAAAGTACACTGAATATGAAACAAGTTCACTGTCACTGACTTTCTTCTATCGTTTTGTTTATGTCTTATTTTTTGCTGAGTCAGATCACCAAGTAAAGGGCTAGTGAATTTAATCCAGCACTCTTTCCCGCCACCTCTGCCTCTACCTCTACCTTGTGGCCTTTTTTTACTTCCGCTCAAGAAACCTCTCGTCGTTGGTTGAAATGTGAAACTGCTCCTTCAATCGAAGTCTTGAGGACTGTTGACTACCACAACGCTCACTTAGACGGAGCTTTTTAACTATTACACTTTGTAACTGCTAGTTATTATTACGCCATTAGGGTGCGAAGTGCTATCATTTGTGCCGTATTTAAGTTTACGTATCGCGGAATATTCAGGAACGACAAATGTTTACTTAGAGGAAGGTCTATCTAACTCTACATGTTATTGAAACGTTCACAAAATCAAGGAAAACTTTCCATTAAATATTCACTGGAGTGGAAAACAAAACAAAAGTCGAAACGTAACAAGGATATTTACGAACAGAGATCACCTCGCATCATGATACAACTGCAACTAATGTGCTCTAGTTGCGCCAATCGTTTCTCTTATAATTCTAGATCTCTAGTTTACCATATCACCTAAATAATTATTTAGGAAGTCTGTGCGTTCAGTCTCAATGTGGGAAACCCGTTCTGCTCTATCAAAAAAAGACTAAGTGGTTTGTGGTTTTTTAGGGCAATCGAAATACTTAATATACAATTCTGAATGTTTACGCTTAGTGGAACGCACCTTATCGCACTATCTTCACAGCCATCTGTTGGTTCACATGTAAATCACACCAAGCAACCACTCTGCCGTAAAAATTTTCAATACACCGTTTAGGAAACAAGACAGTGTCCTAGTGAACTCAACCAAAGCCCAGACTGATTTACGTAGTAGCCAGAAAGTCTGAGTGATTTTGCGAGTCCGTTTGACGTCAATGAAACATCTCATAGAGACTGAACTTCCCAAATTATTTTGACCCGCTATGATTTTCACAAGTTTTGTTAGCGTTTTTCTTCACAGAAATTCTGAATTATATATGTAAGAAGCTCTTTTACGATATATTTTCTGCCCATTTTAGCATGTATCGCAACAACGTGACAAAGTCCGAGCATGTCAAGCAAATAACTCTTCATTGCGGACACGATTTGACCTTATTTGCATAAGGTGGGAATAAAGTGAAAAAGAGTCAAAATACAGAAAATTTTCCTAGCTCAGAAAACACTCTATGAATAGTGTCTGGCCAAGTTGTTTATCAATTACTTTCTTTTCAAGACAGTAATAACTATTGGCATTGTAAAACTGTTTTATCTATACCATATCGGCTACTTAAACGTTACTTTCTTCAACATCATTAATGTGTACTCATTTGTCTCCTGTCAAGACTCAGAAAGTCACGTAAGTTCAGCTTCTCTTGATAGGACTTGTCTTGAGCATATACGTGTGGAGAAAGTTTCCATGAGTCTTTTTCGCTCTAATTTGACATTGGTTGGTTTAGTGCACCGGCGTCATACAAACGAAACGGGGGCCCTTTTACAGCGTGAGAAGCTTCTAGCCGAAGCAGAAACTTCTGTTACTTATTTTGTATTCATCGTGAGATAAGTGGCATTGTTCGCGATGAGGTTGAGTAACGAGAAGCTTTATCAATCCAAGTGGCGCAACAATGGTTAATATAGGCAGTAATCCGCCGAATGATCGTAAATAACAACTTTATCAACAGTTTACTCTCTCTTATATTAATTTGGACACCTTGGAGTGTTTTTAGATATCGAGTTTAATGACCCAACAGACTTAGCGAAAATACCGCTGTTCTGCTTTGTTGAAGTTATCTTCAATTCTACCCCAGTATTCATTACAGAGTAAAGATAATTTTTACGAACTCCTGACATTTATTGTCGCAAACTCACGAAAACAACACTCTACGCAAAGTTTAAATGCCCTTACTTTATTTTCCTCATTCCTCAACTAGTCATCCAAAACTAAACTTTAAAGTTAGATAGGGTCGTAATTATTGGAATCTAGCTTTGTGTGTGATAAGCAGGGTGTGGGGTGACAAGTGCTGGACCTTGAAGCTTGATATTGGAATAAATAAGTTCAAATGTTTGGTGTTTGATATTTGAAGCGGAACTTCATTCAAATAATTTTTGCTAACCACATCATCGCAACAGTTACTGAAAATAAACATGAGTCTCTTTTCCTGGATATTTCTAACTATTTTAGTGTTCGTTTGATAGCAAAGCCACCGCAGAGACGAATATATAAGTCTAAAACATTCCTCATTCAAAACTTAAGGTGAGAATCATTTTTATAATAACCCAGACATGTTCCAAGCATTGCAATTGTCCTTGACCAACAGTGCCAGTTAGGTTCAGTGGTATTCGAAAGATTTTAAGTACGGAAATTCATGTACACTGAATGTTCCCACGGAAGCTATTTTGACTTCAAGCCGTTGCCTGTTGGGGTATATGTTGGAAGCCACAAAGGCGCAGCCAGGCAGAAAACACGCAAAATAAACTAGCATACCTTGGCGATCCGAAACGCAAGCAGTCTATTGTTGTAAATTAATTAGATCTTGTATGTCAAGGCAATACCAAAAACGTCAGGTAGACAAAACTATGTGAGAAGTTTCCGTTGCCAGATTAACTAGAGTTCGAGGTAACTTAAATCAGACTAAACTTAGAGTAGATTATTTGAACTTTATCCATCCATTATTCAAAGCGGAAGTGTAACAGCGGTGGTGCTGTTTCTAGAGGGTTGATTTGTGAGGCGTAGCAAGGGAGTACACAAGGCATGGCGGGGGTGTAGCGAGGGTGTGTAGCAAATCAGAAAAAACAAAGCAGATTCATGACCCAGCAATGATTCTGCAATTTACAGTCGCCCGTTAATACTGCCCGTCACAAAGATTTTACACTAAGTGTAACATGTCGATCACTATTAAGTGAGCAATCATATGACGTAGGTATGGCGTATTTGTAAAAAACCAAGTGGCCGATGTGTAATACCTTCAAGTGCCTGGCGAATCAATCGTGTGTGCGTAACTCCAAAGTCGCACAAAGTAAGATTGATTACAAACTTTGACTATGATCAAATTGGATGGAATAATACTATTTACAGAACATACATCTTTAAGTTTACTCTACGGACTACCTTTGTGTGCAACCGGAACAAATAAGGCAACACTTGGAGTTTAAACGTATGCCTAGAGGCAAGCGTTTTGTAGGTTGCCAACCCTCTCGATTAATTCAACTTTAGAATTGAGCACATCGCCGGTTAGAGACTTACCTCTTAGAATCACGACTTGTAAAATCTGCCAAAGCAGGTTTGAAATAACTCCTCTCGAACAATACGTTTGAGAATAAACTCAACTGTGAATTGTCCCGCTTGCTTTCTTCACCATGTACAATGCAGGACTGCAGTTGGATTACGTGGTTAGAATTAATTAGAAGGTTCCTATATATTTGGATAAGAGCACGTGATGTTCCTAATCCACCTTTTCTTTAGATTTCTATGCGCAATGACCACACAAACGCGAAGAGCTATTTAATCCTATAATCTCAATGATAATAATTATTATAATAATGGTAATAATGACACGTTTATGGACTAAAAAGAATTGGTTTCAAAATTTATTTCATGCCCGGACATGTTCTTGTGATGTGAAAACATGCGACAATTAGGACGAAATCCTAGAGAAAAAACACTTTCATATTGATCAGCAGGCCTCGATGACAATTTTTCCTTTCCGGCGATTAAGAGTAACGCCGTGAATCACAGAACGAGTGGTGTAAAATAGCAAGAGATGTAACATAGAAAGAGATTAGAAAGATTTTCTTTCTTTTTCCTTTTTAAATATCTTTTTTTATACTTGTGTCCTTACCTATTTCATCTGTTCCATCTCATGTGTTTAAAAAGCAGGTCGGAAATATGACTTTCCAGTTTTTTTTAAGGTCATGTTCACTTGCTTGCTTGTTCACGTGATTGGCAATTTTTAGGATTCCAAGATAGTCTTGATAAATGCAGTGCGAGCTGCTCTTGCCTTCCCAAAATATTTGTTTAAGCTTTCAGTGTACCTAACATATGACTAACAATTGTTCACCGAAGTGGAGGTGGCCAGTAGGGGATAATTACCGAGCCGCGAAGCAGTGAGTGAAGTAAATATCCACCGCAAGCCATCGACACCACAGAGAATAGTTGTTTAAGTATGTACTAAAACAGTGACATAAAATAGCTCAAAAAGATGATTGAAAATCTGTATTTCCCACAAAAATTCCATTATCATGGATGCAAACCCTACACGAGTTGCTTGCAGGTGAATAGCGAAGGACATTCGGAGCTTTGAGTAACCAATCAGAGCGCAACTTCAACGCTATCCATTGTTTTAGGATATACTAATGGAGATTATCAATGTCACTGCCTAGTGCAATGAATTTAGACGCATGCATGTGATACTATGTAGCTTACACATGACGAACACTGATTACATATGGCGTCTCCGTAAAATGAAGATAAAACAATATCGTTTTGATACTTTTTTCGAGGAAAAAAAATCAACTTAGTTGACATATGCTAGGAGAGCGCCAGGGGTTAAGGATTTCATGCAGAAGAATGATCGAGTAATGCGATTATGACACAGGGTCCACTATAAACGAGAAATTATAAACTATTTATAATCTCCTGTATAAACTGATAATTCACCGGCCTGGGGGTATCGATACCTACGTTAATGTTCAAACAAATACGTTTGCTCAAACAGAGTCTGATTGTACGTGTTAATCATGCCTTATTCTGAGATCTGTGACAAGATGTCTCCCGTACCACCTTACTCTTAATTACGGAACACAGTTTTTAGTTTTTGTACGTGACAACTGAACAGAGACTACAGCTATATTATTCCTTGAAGCCAGGTACCACATGACACTAAATTTCGTGAGGCAAAAACACCATGCTTTGGGCAAAAAAGCGGATTTTCTGAGGTGATGAAACGTATGCGAAACGCTTGTGGCAAAGTTTAAAGTGGCGAATCACCTGTTCAGAACCTATAGATGTTTAAACCCACTATGCAACCATTGCTTGAACTGTAAGGAGGCATTGTCACCAAATAATCAAATGACCATGTTTATTAAGGTTTTCTTCACGTTGAATGAGGACAGTGGAGTTTAAGTCTCGCAATACATCATTTTCGTAGAAAATACTCAGCTGATGGGTTTGGATCTTTACTGAAGTTTACGGTGATTGTATGAAAATAATAAAAGTGCATTTGTCGTAAAGAAATGAAAAGAGGAAATTAAAACCATGCAATATAAAACTATGAACTTGATTTTCTTAATTTAAAAAAGAACTGCATGTTCTACAGTTAAAATTAAAAACTGAGATTGAAAAATTGAAATTAAAAATATGCAATACAAAACGATGAAAACTTGATTTTCTTAATTAAAAAAAGAACTGCGTGTTTCGTGAAAAGCTATGAATTTTTTCGAAGCACAATTTGAGTACATTTTGAAACGAACCGATGCTTTCTTCGTATGAGAAACGAAGACTTCGTATTTACAAAGAGGACTTCGTATTTACAAAAAGGACTTCGTATTTAGAACATTTCACATACATATCATCAATCAGTTTTTAGTTGCCTTCCTGTTCCTCGGCTTTCTCCTCTTCTACAGCCTCGTTTTTTATTGAAGGTTTTTTCTGTAGCCACTTTTTTAAAAAGGCCATAAACCACCCGAATACAGCAGACAGAAAGTTGCCAGTTCCGGGCCGAATGAAGTCACCCAATACCCTGCTGCCCTCGTTACCGACGTCACTGATAATTTCCATCATTATCTCGCCAGTAGATGCCTCATCCAGATCAATACCAACAGGGGTGTCAGGTCCTGAACCTCGCTCATTCCTTGACCTATTTTCTTCAGATTTTTGTTTGGGCAACGTTTTCGGGGGTGTTTGCCGCTTTTGTTCATTCAACGATTGGCTTCTGTTTAGCACACGACAGTCGCGATTAACATCAGCGTTTTGGTCATCCCACGGCCTCTGACTTTGATGAAAGTGGTCAAATCCCTGCTTTTGCAGCTGATTTCCCTCCATCAACTCAGGTCGTGGCGGGCTTATTCCTGATGATAGACCTCCTCTTCTTTCTGAAACGCAATTAAAACGGTCGATATTTGCAAGGAGAAACGTAGGTTTTGCACTTCTGTTTAAGCGTTTGAACGTTGCGATCCAGAAACACACGATCCAGTTTTCGATACTCGGTAGTCGACGCTCGCACAAATCTCCAGTGGGTACGAATGGCACTTTGATGATCGCCTCCTCTGGTACTCCGACTTTTAATACGACTTCTTGAATCTTCTTCTTAAATTTTCGGAGGCGGTCATCGAAAAACTCCTGTTCCGTCACGTCACTATTGCTGGGTGGTGGGTGAACCTCATTAGCAAATGTTAATGCAACAACAGCGTGCTCCCAAAGCTGTGGACCGAAGGCTTCAGTTAGCTTCTGAATCGTTATAATATCGTCGTTCCTGATTCGGCGATTACTCATCTCAGTGCAGAAAATGAATGCGTCAAAACCGGTTACATTTTCTTTGATTTTTTTTAGATACACTTCTTCGTTTCCAGTGCCATCTGCCAACCCAGGAGTGTCGACTATCGTTACACCCACGCCGTTCATTGAGAAGTTGTAAGGTGTTACCTATCAAAAAGCAGGACATACAATGCTGTCACCTCTTGGAGATTAAGAGAGGAATAGGAAACAAAAGACGTATAAAGGTCGAAGAGAATACTTCAGGTAGAAGAGAATAGGTGATATTGGTCGGAAAAACCTAGTGGCGCTATGCGCCTTCTTGTGCGATATGTGTAAAGGATGCTTGACCAAGAGTTGCACTGTCTTCTTTAATTTACCTCATATGTTTCTGCATTGAGATCTTCGCCTTCTTTGGCCAGACGTTTTCCAACGAGCGCGTTCGTCAAATGCGATTTGCCTACACCTGTTTTTCCACACAGCAGGATGGTTATGTGCTGTCTTCCAGACGAACAGTATTGTTCAAATTGATACTCGAAGCTGGGTAAGCCAGTTATCAGCCGCTTGGCTTGATCTTTGAGCGTTTCAGAGTTGAAATCAGGGCTCCCTCCCTCTGCCATTTTAAAACCTAAAATGTGGTAATGCACATATTTGACGAAATTACAAAAGTGCTGAACCGAAATCGTGTTTATGCATGAGTGGATCTAATTAGTTTTGTGCTAAGGCTGAGGTTTAATCGGTGTAAAAACAATAAGGATTGTGATAGTTATCGATGTTCAAACTGTGACGGTACAGAATTCTACCCACAGTAAGATAAAAAAAGTAGTTATAATTAGGCGCTTTACACTATAGGGAATACGACCGGACTAAATAAGTTTATGGAAAAGAAAAAGAAACGTTGCAACGTCTTCTACAGGTTTTCGATTTAATTTAAAAAAAACCTCATTGCCCCTAGAAATTACTATTTAATTCATCCCTTTGTATCCCATCAACATCAATCCCTAGCCGTAACCACTTAAACATCGTCCTAGTATAAGCAAAATAAAGCTCAAATCGAGATCATTTCCCTTAACACCCATTTATATTTATATATTACAATATCTTACACCAACCCTATCTTGGGTTATATGATTAGAGCGAATTGGACAAGAACGGTTTGTCGAAAGAAGGAATTTTTCGTGGATCAACGTTCCAAACTTGGTCATTTCTTCGAAGAAACGTCGAGTTTCAGTGCTCAGTTGATATTAGCCTCGAAAACTGAGTTCTGTAGATCTTGCTTTTTGACCAGAGTGACAGTCTGAACTTATTATTGAAAAATTCATACTGATAACAGCAGGAATCTCGACGAGACAAACGAACATTGAAGCTTAAGGCTGGCATATATTAAGGAATGAAGTTTCCCAATAGATGCATCGCAAGAGATTGTAACCTCCTGATGCATCGAGATGACAACGGGATCGAAAAGTACTCTATACCTAGGCCTGAAGGTATGAAGTCCGACACGCTATCCAGGCAACAATAACGAGAACAACAATAAATATCGAGTTTGGCTTAATTCAGAATTTGCTGCATCATCAGTATTCTGGTCGTACAGTTTGCCTCTGTATCCGACTAGCAAACAAACATCAACACGCTGAGCCTTTAGTTTTGATTTTAGCAACCATTGATCAAAAATCTCTCGTTGTTGTTATATTAGCATAAGCAAAATACAGTATCTTACGGTCCAACGAGACATTTGTCTAAAAACTTCCATCTCACTGAGCTTGAATATGGCGTTTTCAATCCCTCCTCCGAGGAAAGGCGCTCAAAAAGTTAGCAATATGCTTTACCTACCTGTAGCGAGCACTGTACCGCCTGCCTCAGTAAAAATGTTCAATCTCTCTTTTCCGCGACACACACACAGTCTGCTCTATTCAAAATCGTCTAACTACAATTTCAAGAAATTGCAAAGGGAAAGTCCCTCTCAAGGTGACGGTGACATCAGTCACGATTCTGGGAATCTAATTTGGTCTCGATTTCCCTCCCCCGCAGACAACTCAAACACATCCATTGACAACACAAACACTGAAATATTTGTTTTCATGCAACCGGCTAACAGGGAGAAATAAAGGATGTTGACCTGGTTCGATCTACAGTCTTAATTAAACCCAACACGAAGGGATAGAAGTTATCCACCAGATTCGAGCTGGAACTGCGATCTAAAATCTTAAGGCAGAGACAAGTTCATTATCAAAGCGAAAACCTTTTCAATATTATTGTCTCGGTTCACTGAATCGCAGTGTTATGACCTTATTTCTTTCCGTTTCGGTTTCGAAAAGACAATGGCATTGCATCATCTGAAACAACTGTAACATTCGTTTAGCAAATTTAAGCGGTAACAGTTTGTGTCTTTGCATTTCAGAAATTTAAACAGAAATTCAGATCAAAATGAATCTCTCGTTATAAAGTATTTGGCCTCAACTTATAATTATTTGGTAATAAACAAATCGCTTTCATTCCTGGAAATGTCCGGCACTAAATACTATATCAATATAAAATCTGGAATTTACAAGATGATAATCTTACTATCATTTTTGCAGAAATAAGTTCATTGTAAAGCGAAATCCTTCCATATGTCATTATTATGTTATATTTGTTGAAGAGCAATTTTAGTGACCTCGTGCGCTTTTCTTGTCTGTTTTCGATTTCGAAATGACAATGGCATTACATCATCTGAGCATCCACATATCCTGTCAGCGGTGGCACCTCGCTTCATTGCTTTCATAAAGTGATGATTCCACACAAAGTGGATCTCCTGTCTAGAAGCATTTATATGTAACAGGCTCCAACCAATTTTTTTAAAAAACAAAACATCTCTTGTATTCCCGGAAATGTCACAAAATGCTATATTTAGATAGCATTTGGATTTTGCAAGATGCTTATGTTACCATTTTTGCAGCCCAGTCTTCATAACACGTCAAGTACAGTTTTAAAAGTCGACCTCGACCGGTAGTTACGGTAATGGTTCATCTTCAGAATATGTTAATTTAAGATCAGCAGCTACAGATTTCACTCTAGAAGCCACCAGCATCGACTTGCATGACCACAGTTTTAGTAACGCCGTGAGTCCTTTTTACTGTTCGTGGTAACGATAATGCAATCTCCACCAAGCTGAGGAGGATTAATGGTGAGCAAGAAGCTAAAAAAACTTGGGTCTCACCTCAGAGACAGCATAGGACACTGTTTGGGCTTCTTTAAAAAGCAGGGAGTATCAGGGAATGATTATGGTGTCAAAGATACCTTTAAGGCGCCAGAACATGATATCTTAATATCAGTCTGCCGATTTGATTTAGCGGGCGTGCAATTTCATAGACCCTCACTGGAAAATATCACTAGCCCAGGCACTAAATTCCCAGTAGTATTGACTTCTACTTGATACTCATGATCAGGTATTTCCTATCAAGTTCTTTATTGTTGGCTAAGGAAACTACACTTTAAAAAAAAGCAGTGACAACAACTACATAATTCAAGCCTAGAACTATATTTGTGGCTAGGATGACGCAATTTGAGACCTCCTTTAAGTAATCTTTTCAATTAAGCCTTCGAATAAAAGCAAAAGTTCTACAGAGTCGATCATGCAAATCAAAAGAGGTTCAGTCAGGCAGCACATTAGCCTCATGATTCGGTTATAATGAACAACCTTATATCAACAGTGATATACATAGTCGCTAACTTACTAAATTTAACAGGGAAATATCATTGTGATTGTGCTTTTGTAATTGTTTCGTTCAATGTTATCCACTGAATTTCTAACAGTTTATTCCCCTGCCCCTCAGTGATCTGTCTATGTCTATAGCTTCGTTCAGTTAAACAAGTCTCTTTTCCACATTGGAATAATCTTCGAGTCAAATTTAAAAAAGGGCTATTTGCAACAATATGACCATCCGCACGATTCGTTTGTCTTTATACAAAAAAATTTCAATAGAATATCAGAACAGATCATTAGCATGGTTATTAAGTATTAATGATTCAAATTGAACGAATGAGTCTTCCTTAATGGAAACCATCATAATCAAGATCTAAGGCATTCTAACTCTCCCTGGTCATCTTGTGCCTTTTTTGATAAGAGACAGAAACAAATGACGAGTATATGCAATCTTTGAATTTTTCCCGATATTACAGACCGTTCTCATGATCTGTGAAGGTTTGAGAGTTTCGAACAAGTAGTTAAGTCCTTAATTTGTTCTTGACTACAGAGGTACCCTACTTTATAGGCCCTTGTCTCTTAGATTCTTCCTCTTGGTGCTTCCTTCGTAAAATCCTCTTGAAATATTTAATAATTAAGCTAAGGAACGTGTGATAATAGCGGACGAATGTATTTCGATTGGTCGTTTCGGTGCTATCATGACTGTCGGTCACAACCCCCAAAATATCTTGAACGATTATTTGAGAGGAAGGTACGTCCAGGTATATGGAAGAAGAAACATTAATTTCAGACCTTTCACCTTCAGATGGTATTTCGGGCCGTCTTTCAGATTCTTCATGGGCATCCACATGGTTTTCCAAAGTCACCTCGTGGAACGTATGATTCAAAGCTCTTATGGCAGCGCTTTCGGGATCGTCTTCGTCGAAATTCGAGCCATGAGGAAATGACAGTCGATCAGCACTTGATAGGAGAAAAGCAGCCTTTGCTACTTTGCTGATGCGTTTGAACACCGTCACCCAAAATGCCGTCTTCCAGTCGTTTCTGTCTGGCAGTCTGGGCTCCATGGAGTCCCCAGTTGGTACAAATGGCACTTTAATGGCAACCTCTTCAGGCACTCCACAGTTGTGGATCAGGGCTTGCCGAAATGTCTTCTTCAGACCTTCGAACTTTTCACCAAACACCTCTTTATCCGAGACGCCTTTCAGCTTCTGGCTTGCTGATGCAAAAACCATGTCAGCAAACGTTAACACAATTACTGCGTGGTTCCAAATCTGAAAACCTAAGGCTGTCGACAGCTTCTTCATTGTCTCTAAGTCGTCGTTACGAAATCTTGTACCATTCATCTCAGTACAGAACAGAATAAGATCGAACTCTATCTTTTTTTCTTTGATCTTCTTTATATATTCTTCGTCATTGCCTTTCGTATCTGCCAGTCCTGGAGTGTCAAACACCGTAATCTTCACGTTGTTCTTTGAAAATTCATAAGCTCTCACCTAAAAATCATGAATCATAGGGCTTAAGCTGCCTAGTCTTTAAGGATATACTAATAATAGCATAATGAGATATTGAGGAAACAAACTCTTTTAGACAGCTTGCTTATATTACTACCGGGAATTTGTGCCTAAGACTGAAGGAATGTCCTTCTCGTGAACAGTTCGCCGGTAGAAAGTCTTGAATTCTCAAAACCTATGGAACCGATTTTAGCTTGAACTAAATCCTTGTCACGTTACCTAGGTATTTTTCTTGACACTTGCAGCACTTCACTCTACCTAGCTAAGGGGTCATGGATGGGGTAAATGTCATTTTGAAGAATTTTACGAGGGTACTTGATTCTTACTTCATATGGCTCAAGTTTCTTGTCCGAATCCTTAGATCAATTTTCAATTTTTTCATTCCAATATCACGTTTATAAGTGATCAAAATGTAACTAAATCTTTCTATACGTTTATAATTCAGTAAAACTTGCCTCAGCGGTTTTTGGATCAAAATCTTTTCCCTCCTCAGCAAGCTGTTCACCGATTAGAGCATTCGTCAAGTGAGATTTTCCAACTCCTGTTTTACCGATTAAAAGTATTTTGATAGCGTTGCCAAAGCAAAACGTCATCAGTTGATCCAGTTGATACTTGAGACTTCTCTTACAGAGTAACTTCTGCTGTTCTTCCTTTCCAGCCCAAGTTCTCAATCCTCTTTTCAGGGCTCCCTTCTCCGCCATTGCAATATAAACTATGTCAAAAAAAAATGTATGATATTCATTGTATTTAGAAAAAAGTGAAATTGATGATCTTTTGTTACAGTTAAATTTGATATTTGAATCATCCTCATAGAGCATTTACCCTACAGTGTAATATTAATTGGTACAGAAACAGTTCAGATTATTTTAAAAGACACTGACCTTAATAAATCAGGATAAATAAGTAGAGTTAGAAAGTTTTAGACTTGGAGGCCAGAAGGGAAAATCTTACAGTGGGCTAAAAGACCATAGAAAACTTCATAGATTGAAGCCTAAGTGAAGGCCAAAGCATATTCCTCCCTTATAAATCATTCCCCCTTTCACTTCGACTTCTACTAAAAAGATATGGGCCTAAACATCAGCATAATTCAGACCAGTCTTTCTTATTTAAAAAAAAAGCAACTATCTGAAATGGGCTGAATAGTTTGTTTATAAAGCAGGTCACGTTAAGAAAATTTACAATAATAGCTTTGTTAAAACGAAAGTAAACATGCCCGTGGTCATCTCTTGCATAATCTTTCCTTGATTATATCTACGTTTTTAATGAGCTTTTTGCGTTGTTCCTCTTCCCGCGAAAATCAGTCTTACGTTACTGAACGTTTATTAAGCAGCGATCAGAGAGGATGCGAAAGATACGTAAAAGGCAATCGCGCCAAATTCTTCGGGATACACTTCCAGCAAAGGTTGACCTTTCCATACCGTGACAACTTACAAGTCAAAATAATAAATCTTGGCTAAGGACAAATGAATAATAATTGAACTGAAGTGATGCTGCCTTTTTCCAAACAGTGAGATCAAGCATTTTGCAAATCAAGCATTTAACAAATCAAACGTTTTCACCAAAATCAGTAATTCTCTTTATTCACCTGGGAGGAAATGAATATGCACTATAAAGAGCGAAGCAAAATCAATCAATTACGATAGCAAAGTAAGAACATTTATCATTTACTAAGCTCCTTGTAATGACTGTTAAATCGTCACACTCTCAGTTATTAAAACGTTCATCTTGTCATTTCAGCAATCCAGAAGAGAATTACTTTCGATATTGAGGAGCCCAGCCGGAAATGTATCGCGAAATGATTTTGTTACATTAAAACAGAACAAATTAAAAGCATGTGCCCTAACCTTGTGGACTGACTGTTGGGAATTTGTCTAAAGGAGGCTGCGAAGAACAGCTGGTTCTACTGCGTACACAAGCAAAGGAAATGTGGTGTAAATTTGTGGTGTCAACACAGAACTTTTTGTATCATGTGATTTATAAAGCAATCTGAGAAATGCGAGAGTCCTGGAGCGAGTTAGAGACGGACCATTATTTTCCTGAAAGGGGGTATGAAAAATATTGAAAAAAATTGTTTGCAGGGTCTGGAAAGACAAAGTAAGTTGTTTACAAACGTGATAGGGCAAAAATAATGTTTGCATAGAGGTCAGATAAGATATTAAAAATATTATTACCAAAACTGAAATTTAAAAAACATAACCAATTAAAGCATTAATATAAAAATTAACACAATTTGGGCACTAAAAGGGTCACTCTGTATTAAGCAAATAACAAATCTGAAAATAGCTGAATTTTTCTTGAAAAAATGGGAATTTATCGTGGCAATTAAATCTCAACTTGTCTTGTCTACATTTTGTCCAACTACAAAACTTTATATATCAGGTGTTTTTCTTAAAACTGTATTAATTAAACAGATAATAGTCTTCAATCTTGGATATATTTATCATTGCTACTTAATACATATTTCAGAAGTCAATGAGTTACATGAACGACATAAGCGAATAAAACTAAAAAATGATAGACAAAAAGGTTGAAGCAGCTGTAGTTCTTGACACATTCGTTGACAACTGAAAAACGTTTTTGTAGTAGTAAAGAAATGGGTGCGTTCCAGAAAGCTGTCATCTTCCTGATGATATCACCATCAAAGCTAATGGATCACATACTACTTATAAGTTATTTGGAGTGACCTATGGCCACAACAATCATTTCAAATCAGCAATGTGCCTGCCTTCGCCCCTAGTACCACATGTCGGGTGGTACGAGTATGATGGCCTGTAGGAACATCATCAAAGAGGATCAGGAGTTCGTGACTGTGGAATCGCAAAAAAGGCCGCCACTCCCTTTGCCTATTTCCTGTTGTATGCCCTTTAGTTGCGTCAGTAGCTGCCAAAAAATTTTAGAAGGTGTGTGGAGCGTATATCGACAAAATAAGTGGCAATAGCACTAGTGATTACGTTCTTCGTAAAAATATTTCAATAAGGCAATGGTAATATTTAGCACAGATGAAAAGAACAAGGAAAAAAAAAAGGAAAAAAAATTGTTTGCACGAAGATGATGTTGGAAAAAAATTTTTTACAGAAGAAAATTTCTCATACCCCCCCTCCAGGAAAATAATGATCCGTCCCTTAAAACAATTTATAATTCCAGGTTGGGTGGCCAGAGATAAACCATTTAATTTTATGAAGAGGTGTTAGAGCGGAGAGAGCTACGCAGCTAAAAAATGCATCAAGGAAACGGTATGAAAGACAAGAAGTCCTTCACGACTATGGATATACACCGATACGAAAGACAAGAAATCCTACACGACTTTTCGGGGAACACAAAGTTTTCAGAGAGAACGGAGGAGTATCATTTTTTCCTCGAAAACTATAAAGGGCGGACTACAGACAGTTGCCTGTCAATGAGGTGGGGGGGGGGGGGGGTTCATTAGAACCCTACAGAGCCTTTGAGGAAGGGGGGAAATCAGGTAGATTTTATTATGACACACCCCCCCCCCCCCATCTCCTCAGGTGCCAAAAAATGGTCTGTCTCATAAAAGCTAGAAGCTTGATATGAAACAGGTAAAAGTAAGCACAGAGGATATAGAATCAAGGGGGCTTTGTTTGCTCTTCAGAACTGTGTGATGAGGAAATTAAACAACGATGGAGTCGAAGAAGGCTTTCTCCTTTCAAAATCCACAAACGCCTGGTAAATGCTTTCGTCCATCTTTTCCTGTTTTAATCGTTTTCTTCCGATGGTGTTACTAATAACATGAATTTAAAAAAAAAAAAAATACATTTTTCAAAGTTTTATAAATCGGTCCTCTGTATCAAATAACTTCATTGTACTCAGCAACTTTAACTCGTCTTGTCTTGAAACAAAAAGTCGCTTGGACCTCTAACGAGCCTACATATAATATGCTATCTATTTGAACCTTTTTCCAATAGCTCGTTTGATTTCAGAAACGTGGCATGACCTTTTTGAGGATACAGAGTCCAATTTGATTTATAGATTATATGTTCATAGTCTAACTGGTTGATATTTTTAAAGGCACACAGTTTCTCTCTTTCTCTCTATTTGGTCACCACGTGATCATTTCTTCATGCCTTCTAGTCTAGGCTTTGAAACGAAAAGTGGGAAACGCTTCTTAAGATACTTCAAAAGGAAGCGGAGGAATATTCCGTACTTTCCACCAAATTTGGCAGTGGTTAGCTCACCGAGGAAATTCCCTGTTGCATCGGCCAACATCTCCTTCTTGACGTCTTTAGAGCACGTTTCGTTTCTATTGATGAAGGGGCCTGACACCTTTGCAACTTGGCCAGGTGATGTGGGGCACTCGTCTTCAGGTTCATCCGACGTCTCAGTTTTCTTCTTAGCACTGGTCAGCTCACCGATGAATTGCCCTGTTACATCGGCCAAAATCTCCTTCTTGACGTCTTTAGAGCACGTTTTGTTCCTATTGATGTAGGGGCCTGACACCTTTGCATCTTGGCCAGGTGATGTGGGGCACTCGTCTTCAGGTTCATCCGACGTCTCAGTTTTCTTCTTAGCACTGGTCAGCTCACCGATGAATTGCCCTTTTACATTGGCCAACATCTCCTTCTTGACGTCTTTAGAGTACGTTTCGTTCTTACTGATGAAGGGGACTGACACCTTTGCAACTTGGCCAGGTGATGTGGGGCACTCCTCATCGGGTTCATCCGAAGTCTTAGTTTTCTTAGTACTGGTTAGCTCGACAATGAATTGCCCTGATACATCGCTTATTATCTCCTTAAAGATTTCTTCAGAGAAGGTTTCGTTCGCATTGATGGAGGGGCCTGACACCTTTGCGCCTTGGCCAGGTGATGTGGGGCACTCCTCTTTAGTTTTCATCTCAATTTTCTCAAAACAGCGGCTCAATTTTTTGTCAAAGCCACTTTCTTTCAATTTTCCTCCTGATTCTTTGATTGCATTCCTTTCTTCGGTGGTTAAAGATTGACAAACGTTGCCATCTTTCCTTACTTTGCTTTCTTCGTTTCCTTCACCAGAGGTGGAGGAAAGTGAAATGCGATCGACATTTGCCATTAGGAAAGCAGCTTTTGCGTTCCTGTTGATACGTTTGAAAGCTGCGATCCAAAATGCTGTCAACCAGTCTTCTCTATCTGGAAGTCTTGGATCATCCAACTCTCCGGCTGGCGTAAATGGCACATTAGTCACGGTTATCTCTGGTACCCCTATGGCAACCAAATGTTTGTTTATCGCTTTCTTGAAACCTAAAAAGCGATTATTGAAAACGGTTACTTCAGGTACGTCAACCATCTTCTTAGCTGGCGATAATGGAACTTCGTTTGCAAAGGTTAAAACCACAAGAGCATGTTCCCAAAGTTTCTCCCCCAAGGCTTCTGTAAGCTTCTTCATCGTTTCCAAGTCGTCGGTGCGAAATCGCTTACTGGTCATCTCAGTGCAGAATAGAAACAAGTCCAAGTGGGTTACTTTCTCCTTGATTTTCTGCAGGTATTCTTCATCACTGCCGGTTGCGTCTGCAAGTCCTGGAGTGTCGAACACTGTAATAGTTACGCCGTTTCTGACAACCTCGTAAGCAGTTACCTGAGGGGAATAAACAGGAAATAATTACGCCATTTAACTCTAACAGTGATTTACTTATGATCTGACCTGGAATGTTACCTAAGTTACACGAGAGAAATGCATGAAAATTTTTTTATATTCTTAAGTGCGCCCTGTTTCTCAATGAGACCTTGGAAAGTGGTTTTTTCTCATCCCTCAAATAACGTTTTGCCTAATACCTGCAAAAGCACTCCATAATTCTTTCTTGATTTCAAGCATTAAAGAACAGAGGGAGTTTAGACATGCTGCTGAAAAGGATGCAAAATATATTATCATTACTTTTCCCAACTACAAGTAATACACAGTAACCCGTTAATGAAATTACCTCATAATAGTTTAAAAGGTGAATTAACTGTCGATATCAAAGTAGCTTACGTCATCAGTTTGTGGGTCGATGTCATATCCTTCTACCGCAAGGTTTTCTCCAATGAGCGCATTTGTCAAATGTGACTTGCCAACTCCTGTCTTGCCACTCAGTAGAATATTAACAGTCTGGCCACCGGAGCTAAGAAACTGTTCGATCTGATACTCCAAGTTCTTTTCACCAAATATGATCTGACTAACTTCAGTTGCGGAGGCATCGGAACTTTTATCTGGGGTCCCTTCCTGTGCCATTCTTGATAGTAAATGAAATAAATTAATTTTCATTAATGTAAAGAGGAGGAAAATACACCAGGTGTAAATTGACTGAACCATGATGGATAGAGAAGTAGAATGAAAAATTTAGTAAGCATTGTCAAAATAATAATACGCTGTTTGTTTTCTTCAGCCAAAAGATAATGACGTCAACATAAATACTTTTCGGACAGCATCTGGCATCAATTGGATCATTAAGTGATTTTCGCTTACAAGTGCGTCATTCGTATCACAGCCTTTAAAGAGGTGATTTGTTTAAACGGTTTTGAGTCATTTATTTCCATTTGGGATCAGTCGCCTGACAACTGGTTATGTGCTACATGACAGAAGAGTAGAATGCAAGAAACTTTACACGGCAGTGAAAAATTTAGATAAATCTCAACTTTGCCTGCGCTAATTTCACCTCATCCGATTTGCTTTGGTATTGACACTTTGATACATTGATCACTTCAAGCATTCAAACCTTCAACCTGCATTTCATCCTCTTCAATCTAAAAAGTATTGAATATTGATCAAATTCGGTGGTCAATAATTTGAGTGTTCTGCGTTTTTTTCTCTATTTAGTTTACATTGAGAGTGCGCTTATTTATACATATAAATTATACAAACATGCTATATTTGTGACCTTAAGATGTTGAATGTTAGTCGATATTTTGATAATCCGTTGGCCTCGTAACCTTATCTATCAGTCGTGTAATCTTATAAAGCTTTTCTTGAGAAAAGGACGCGAGGATTCTTAGAAACTCAGTTCGCTTTAAGAGTGCTCTTGGATTTTCTATCAAATTGTACAGACAAGCTAAGGTTTCTGTGACCCTATAAGCCAAGTACTGTTCAATATTTTGGTAATCTGTGAGCTTTTGTTATTAACCTTATTTTTGTCAATCGTTATCAAACAACGCGGTTATCGAGAAAAGGACGCGAGGTTCTTGGAGCCTTACTTCGCTTTCAGAGTACTCTTACTTTTTCTTTTAAATTATACAAACAGGCTATCTTTGTGACTATGAGACGCTGAGTTTTGGTCAATATTTTAGTCATCTGTTGCCTTTGTTGGTAACCTCATCTGTCAGTCTTTGATTCAACGACGCTGGTAGCGAGAAAAGCACGCGAAGATTCTTGATAAAAAAAACAAACATCTTACAACAAATTATCGAACAAAGATTCGTTGAAAAAATGTTTCGGAATAAGTTTAAAACTGTCCAAACCCCGTTAAAGACTATTTCTTCTTGATGACAAGCGAAAGTAATTCGTGCTATCTATATTTTACTCCATTTTGGCTCGCAAAATCGGCTCGAACTTCTCCAAACGTGGATCACGTATCGTAAGATGTTAAAGATGCTATTTCAACCAGTGTTGTTTAATTCGTAACGGCGAAAACTAGTGCATACCTGAACAAATGTAAACCGGATTTTATCGACGTATCGAAAGATACAAAAGAATACACGACAGGCGGCATGTGCTTGTAAGACTCTCGTTACACGTTGCATGGCATATCTTTGCAGAATTTCTTTAGCAACGCTGAATGCCTGTGATGTACTGTTAGATGTCTATCGGCGAATCAGTCGCATAAATAAATTCATACAACCTACCTTCAAAGGCAAGGCAAATGCTCGTTTATTCTTGTACTTCCGGGTTTCAATCTCAAAGTCTTTCGTGAAGATGTCTAATAACCACACCGGTATCTCAGACGGTCTCGAAGAGGGCAGTGTAAGTTACCTTAGTCATGTAGCGCATTATAGCACGTTAACAAAACAAGTCGAAGGCGAAGAACGGGGAAGAGGTCTGGGGAAGCGTAACTGTTGTGACTGAGTTTTACGCTTACACGGTCATTACACTTCATCTTCTATTGTGTTTCTTCCGTTGTTATTTGGTATTTTGTGACTCAATAAACCGTTTCCTAGAAAGTTTTGAAGTCAATTAATAGCACTATGGTCATTATAGGGATGGATGTAATAAATAACCCCATATCAACAATGATATACATAGTCGCCAACTTACTAAATTTAACATGGAAATACTGCTGTGATTGTGCTGTTGTAATTGTTTCGTTCAATCTTATCCACTGTTTCAATTTCTAACAGTTCACTCCTCTGCCCCCTCAGTGATCTGTCTATTTCTAAGTCAAATTTGCTCTTTTTCACATTGGAACATTATTTGCATCAAATTGATAAAAGAGCTATTTGTAGCAATGTGACCATCCGCACCATTTGTTTGTCTTTATACAAGGAAATTTCACTATATCAGAACAGATCATTTGCTTGGTTATAAAGTATTAATGATTCATATGAAACTAATGGAAACCATTATAATCAAGCCCTAAATCATTCTAACTCTCCCTATGTCCTTATAAAGTTCATCTTGAGTTTGGTAAGAGATGGAAACTAATGACGAGTAAATGCAATCTTTGAATTTGTGGCATCCACAAATCGACAGCTTCTCCATTGTTTCTAAGTCGTCTTTACGAAATCTTGTACCACTCATCTCAGTACAGAACAAAATTTTTCTCTGTGATCTTTCTTCGTCATTGCCTTTCGTATCTGCCAGTCCTGGAATGTCAAACACCGTAATCTTCACTTTGTTCTTTAAAAATTCATAAGCTCTCACCTAAAATTATAAATCATAGGATTTAAGCTGCATAGTCTTTAAGGATATACTAATAATAATATAATGACTGAGATATTATGGAAACAAACTCTTTAAGACAAATTGTTCATATTAGTACCAGGGTTTGTACCTGAGGCTGAAGGAAGGTCCTTCTCGTGAATATCTCGCCAATAGAAAGTCTTGAACTCTCAAGACTGTTGGAACTAACCTGGAACCGATTTTAGCTTGAACTAAATTATTGTCACGTTACTTGGGTATTTTTCCTCACGCTTGCTGCACTTCATTCCCTCTGCTCCTACCTTGCAATATCATTTTGAAGAATGTTACGAGGGCAATTGATTCCTACTTCGTATAGCTCAATTTTCATGTCCGAATCCTTAAATCAATTTTCAATTTTTTATTCCAATATCACGTTTATAAGTGCATGATCAAAATGTAACTAAAGCTTTCTATTCTTTAATAATTCAATAAAAATCTCTTCCCTCCGCAGCAAGCCGTTCACTGATTAGAGTATTCGTCAAGTGAGATTTCCCAACTCCTGTTCCACCGATTAAAACCATTTTGATAGCCTTGCCACGGCAAAACATCATCAGTTGATCCAGTTGATACTTGAGACTTCTCGTACTGAGTAACTTCTGCTGTTCTTCCTCTCCAGCAAAAGATCTTGATCTTCTTCTCAGGGCTCCCTTCTCCGCCATTTCAACATAAACTATGTCAAAACAAATGTATGATATTCATTGATTTGAGAGAAAAGTTAAATTGGTGATCTTTTGTTACAGTTAAATTTATATTTGAATCATCCTCATAGAACATATACACTCCAATTAAATTTTCATTGGTAAAGAAATAGGTCAGATTTTTACAAAAAAAAGTGGCCGAAAGAAATCAGGATAATTAAGCAGAGCTAGAAAGTTTCAGACTTGGAGGCCAGAAGGGAAAATCCTATAGTGTGATAAAAAACTATAGAAAACTTCATAGATTGGAGCGTGACTGAAGGCCGAAGCATATTCCTCCCTTGCAAATCATTCCCTCTTTCACTTCTGCTTCTACGTAAAAGATATGAGTATGAAGATCTGCATGATTCAGGTCAGTCTTTCTTATCTAAGAAAGCAACTTTCTCAAATGGGCTGAATAATTTTTTTCACAAAGCAGGTCACATTACAAAAAAATAATAGTGGGCTTGAAACATAATCGTTCATTGTGTAACTGAAACGAAGCATTGTTAAAACGAAAGTAAACATGCCCGCAGTCATCTCTCATATCATCTACGCTTTTAATTAGCTTTTTGAGTTATTCCTCTTCCCGCGAAAATCAGTCTTATTAAACGTAACTGAACGTTGATTAAGCAGCGATCAGACAGGATGCGAAAGAAAGGTAAAAGGTAGTCGCGCGAAATTCTTCGGGAGACATTTCCGGCAAAGGTTGACCCCACCATACCGTGACAATTTACAAGTCAAAATGATAAAATTATAGCTGAGGACAAATGTATAAGAAATGAACTGAAGTGATGCTGCCTTTTTCCAAATAGCGAAATGAAGCATTCCGCTTGTGCAACAGTTTGAAGCGTTGAACTAGTCAAGCGTTTCCAGTTCTGTGAACTAACCTTGTGGACCGATTGTTATGATTTTTTCTAAAGGAGGCTGCGGAGAACAGTTGGTTCTACTGCGTACTCCAAAAAAGTAAGTGGGGTGTAACTTTGCAGTGTCAACACAGACCTTGTTGTATAATGTGATTCATTCAGTGATCTGAGAAAATCGAAATTCCCAGAGCGAGTCAAAAGTATTTATGGCTCCACTTTGGGTGGCTAGAGACGAACAGTTATATTAGATTAAGAGGTGTAAAAGTGGAGAGATTTGGGCAGCTAAAACCATACATCAATTGAAACTATAGGAAAGACAAGAAATCCAACACGATTGTGGATGTACACCGATATGAAAGACAAGAAATCCTACATGATTGTGTATGTACAGCGATATGAACGACAAGAAATCCTACACGATTGTGGATGTACAGCGGATTTGTGTCGATCGTTTCAAAAGGTTAGATGGTATAAGACAATGAAAGGTGCAGTTTGACTCTAGTTGGAATAAGAAGGGGGGGGGAGTGGGAACACAGAGAGAACAGAGAGGTATCGTTCTTTCCTTTAAAACTATAAAGGGGGGACCATAGACAATTCCCTGTCAATGAGTGGGATTCATTAGAACCCTACAGAACCTTTGGATTAAAACAGAAGAAATTAAATGCATGTGCCCTAACCTTCAAGGCCTGACTGTTAGGAATTTATCTAAAGGAGACTGTGGAGAACAGCTGGTTCTACTGCGCACACAAGCAAAGGAAATGTGATGTAACTTTGTGGTGTCAACACAGAACTTTTTGTATCATGTGATTTATAAAGTAATCTGAGAAATGCGAGAGTCCTGGAGGGGGTATGAAAAGTATTAAAAAAATTGTTTGCATGGTCTGAAAAGACAAAGTAAGTTGTTTACTTTTTCTTACTTTTTTTTCAGGTAAGATATTAAAAAATATTATTACCAAAACTGAAATTAAAAAGAGTAACCAATTAAAGCATTAATATAAAAATTAACACAATTTGGGCACTAAAAGGGGTCACTCTGTATTAAGCAAATAACAAATCTGAAAATGGCTTAATTTTTCTTTAAAAAAAATGGAAATTTATCGTGGCAATTAAATCTCAATGTTACTTGTCCACATTTTGTCCTACTACAAAACTTCATATATCAGGTGCTTTTCTCAAAACTGTATTAATTAAACAAATAATAGTCTTCAATCTTGGCTATATTTATCATTGCTACTTAATACATATTTCAGAAGTCAATGAGTTACATGAACGACATAAGCGAATAAAATCTAAAAAATGATAAACAAAATGGTTCAAGCAGCTGTAGTTCTTGACATACATGACACTAATGATATCACCATCAAAGCTAACAGATCACTTACTACTTATAAGTTACTTGAAGTGACCTATGGCAACAACAATCATTTCAAATCAGCAATGTGCCTGCCTTCGCCCTTAGTACCACACGCCGGATGGTACGAGTATGATGGCCAAAGAGGATCAAAGAGGATCAGTAGTTCGTTACTATGGAATCGCAAAAAAGGCCGCCACTCCCTTTGCCTATTTCCTGTCGTATACCCTTTCGTTGTGTCAGTAACTGCCAAAAAACTTTAAAAGGTGTGTGGAGCGTATATCGACAAAATAAGTGGCTATAGCACTAGTGACTACGTTATTCGTAAAATATTTCAATAAGGCAATGGTAATATTTAGCACAAATAAAAAAGCTGAAAAAAAGGAAAAAATTGTTTGCACAAAGATGATGTTGGAAAAAATATTTTTACAGAAGAAAATTTCTCATACCCCCCTCTAGAAAAAAAGAATCTGTCCCTTAAAAAATTTTATAATTCCAGGTTGCGTGGCCAGAGACAAACCATTTAATTTTCTGAAGAAGTGTTAAAGTGGAGAGAGTTACACAGCTAAAAAAAACATCAAGGAAACGGTTTTAAAGACAAGAAGTCCTTCACGATTGTGGATATACACCGATACGAAAGACAAGAAATCCTACACGATTGAGGATTTTAGGCGAACACAAAGTTTTCAGAGAGAACGGAGGAGTATCAGTCTTTCCTCGAAAACTATAAAAAGCGGACTATAGACAATTGCCTGTCAATGAGGGGGGTTCATTAGAACCCTACAGAGCCTTTGAGGAAGGGGGGGAATCAGGTAGATTTTATTATGACACAACCCCACCCCCCACCCCCCCTCAGGTGATAAATAATGGTCGGTCTTATAAAAGCTAAAAGCTTGATACGAAAGAGGCACAAGTAGGCACAGAAGATATATAGATTCAAGCGGGCCTTGTTTGCTCTTCAGAACTTTGTGATGAGGAAATTAAACAACGATGGAGTCGAAGAAGGCTTTCTCCTATCAAAGTTCACAAACGCCTGATAAATACTGTTGTCCATCTTTTCCCGTTTTAATCGTTTTCTCCCGATGGTGTTACTAATAACATGAATTTAAAAAAAAAATTACAAAAGACATTTTTCAAAGTTTTATAAATCGGTCCCCTGTATCAAATAACTTCATTGTACTTAGCAACTTTAACTAGTCTTATCTTGTGACAAAAA